CAAACGGGTGATTCACGTACACTTCCCTTCCTTTGTCTACCTTGCAGTGGGCGTCCGTACACATTCCTCGTCGCCAAAAATGTAGTGTATCGAGCGACTAAATAGCTTAAATACCCTCACGGAACACAACGAGTCAACAAGCACATGGTTCGGACCATTAAACAGAACAACACGACAGGGGTCACGTGACCCCTAACAAGTTCCCAGGACCGCACACCATCTAGCCCATTGTTTGATCAATATTTTTCAAAGAATCCAAAATGTGTTTGTTCGTCGCCGTATCCACCACAGAAGCCGTTCCGGTGCGTCGGTGGCGACAACCACATGGTCTGTTGATGATTCACCTTCAGCACTCATTTTCACTTGGAAAACCAAGAACTGTAGAGCAAAATGAATAAATACAGAAAAGGTACGACTCCTACCGTCTCTGTTGACCTCTAAGAAGCAAGGTAAACGGAGGCTGGTTGAAGATTTACAAATAATATGCAAGAGAAAACTAGCTTTCGAATGACAACTAAACTAGCGAAACGCTCAGCACTGACTAGCAATGCGCATGCGCATCTCATGTGACTTCGTAGTGACGTAGACTGATGACAAGTGAGAATGGAAAACCTAAGGATAAACGTTCTGTAATAGCAAGTAAGATCAAGTCAGCTTTGAAGCTCTTTCACATTCAGTGTTACTGACCATGTTGTGACGGGTTTGACCTTCTCGGGATCAGATGACACAACATGTCCGAGAAACGTAACTTCCCTTCTAAGGAAGTGACACTTGATAGACATCAATCTAAAACCAGATCAGTCCTTATACGATCAAGCACTTACCGTAGGTGGCGGATGTGATCTTTAAAGGTAAGGGCGCAGATGATGAACGCTAGGCAGTGTGTCCGGTTAAGGCCATTGAGCGTCAGATTCATTAGTCGAGTGACGCTAGCTGGTCCGTTTGTGAATCCAAAAGGTATTACTCTCCACTGCAATTGTCCCTGATGAATTGAGAAGGCAGTATTAGGCCATTCGTCTTCTCTCACTCGCATCTGCCAGTACCCGGAGGCCAAATCCAGGTTAGAGCCTCACCGAAACCCTCTAACACGTCATCCGTCCAAGGTAGTGGTATGGCACCCTTTGTCAACTGGTAACGTTTACGATAGTCAATGCATGTACGGTATGTCCCGTCATGTTTCTTAGCACGTACCACTGGCCTCCTCCAAGGACTTTGAGACGGTTCAATCCTGCCTGTAGCTAATAATTCTTCCAGCTAATGATTGATGACTTTACGCTGTTAGGGTGGTACTCAACGAGGAGGCTGTTTCACTGGCTTACAATCACTGGTGTCGATTGCAAAATCTAAGAGACCCCACTTTCCGAAATCAGAGCTTTCTTTTGCAAATATGTCCTCAAATTCCATTATCAGGGACAAAAACGGCTCTCTTTGGTCTTCCAAAAGCCCTTCTAGGTCACCTCGCAATTCTAACCTCCACTTTTCGTCCTCCTTTTGCTTCTCTCTTTCGCCACTGGTTTGTCAATAATTGAAGATGAGTAAGAGACACTGGTTGAATCTTGGTCTGGTTCCAATGAAACAAAGAAGTCATCCCCACTGCTGACAGGATCATATTCAGCAACAGGAAGGTCTGTCCGTAGTCTAATAGGCCTATCTGAGGAGTTAGCAACTCGGGCTAGAGTTAGTCTGTCTGGGGATAACTAAGGAACGGGCTAAGTTGATTTCAGTTTTGCCTCTCAGTTCCCTTGAGTCCTCCAAGATTCCCTGAGTACCAGTTTTATCCTCAAATCCCTTCTCCAATTTAGCCTCTATTATATGTCGGTTCCGGGTCCCACTAGTATATCATCACGCAGGTGATGATATACCAGGGGTAAACTTGCAGTATCCGATTGGAAGTTCAGTATTCCAGCTACAAAAGTTCCGGTGTCGTAGTGAATTTGACATTGAAAGTGCTAAAAAAAGTCTGAGGGATGTATGCAATTATGAGAGAGACCCTGCATCGTAACTGGCCGAAATGTATCAACACTTCCTAAACGTAATCTAACTTCTGTTTCTCCTAATTTCCATTTGCTGTTGACAGAGTCCCGGTTACTAGCTTGCGTTTTGATACAAATGTACTTTGTTCCATGTCCCCTCATTCACGAACAGTTGCACCGGTGTCTACAATATACAAGTCACAATATGATTCACAATTCCTGTGACATAGACTCCAGAGTCTGATGTTGCTGAAAGTGCTATGTTGTTAACAAAAGCAGCGTTGGTTACCTCATTGGCGACTACTGATGCTTGGGCCCACTGTTTCAAGTGTCGCGGGAACTGCCTGGCCCTCGGAGGCCCCGAGCTCTGTTTTCTCTTTTGTATGCCTGTGTCTGGGCAAGTTCATGCGAGATGGCCAGGTTTTGCGGCAAGCAAAACATTCCACCACGTTACGGCCCCTAGTGGAGGCGTGCGAGGCCGAGAAGTTAACAACCCGAACTCTGGATCTGGAATCCCTCTCCTTGAGTAAACTGGTCCTTTGCTAGTTCCAGCTTGAAAGAATAAGCTGCCTGTGGGAAGGCATTTTCCATCAATTCCATCTGTATCACACTATCGGCAAACCCTTCAAAATTCTCATTTGGCCTTTGACAGCTAGCCCCGAGCTGTAATTTATTTTCTTCCTTTGATTTGCCCGAAACAAATCTTTCAACCAGCGTCGCCGTGAATTCTTCAAAGGTTAGCAATTCTAAAAGCTTTAGATGCTCAACTACTTAATAAGTCGGATGATCCAGCCGGGTGAGCAAATATGCCCGACGACCTGAATTTTTTATACCGTAAATACATTATTAATGTGCTTATTAATTTCAAACACATATGGGGGGGTACGTCTTAATAGAGAGGGGGGACTTATTCAATTTAGCAAAGAAGATGGTATCAGTTCTCCATAAAGAACTAAAATGCAAAGTGGGAAAGGTCAAGTACAAGAAGTTGGGGGTCATGTAGCCGAGGATCAAAAACAAAACCGAACCTCCAGCTGCTGAATAAACCATTGCATCCTGGATCAGTCCACAGGAAGTTTTACAGTCGCAATAGACTCTTGACAGTCGTCATTGATAAATACAGTGTATCATTTATCATTGAATAATAATAAGGGGGAGGCGGGGGAACTTAATAGACGATTTACGGTATGTAGAAGATTTGCATACTGAGGAAACTACGAATGAGCACGCGGTAAAATCTACTGCACATGCCCTAATTGCAAACACCGCCAAAACACTACACTCTCATGTTGTAGAGATTCGGGCGATCTTTTTGCCGTCCTAGGGGACTGAAATCGCTTAGACATTCACCTTTAATACAAACACCTGATTAGAAAAGTAAACCTTGCTAAAGCAAACACTTTCTCATCAACTGTGTACTGTCAAAAACCTTCGGTTTTGGAGGTTAAAAAGCCCTTCTGTTGACAGCATGTCGATGTTCTAGGACTTCAGTACACTGGATAGGACAAATGGTGGACGTCAACTTCAAACTATTTTGGCATCAAATGCGAAAATATAAGATGCTTAGGTCAATGAAAGATTGTTTTTATTTTCTTAGGTTTGTTTTGGGGATAGTTTTTTTAGAAAACAGTCCCCACCCCTCTTTGCATAAGAAGGTAAATGGAAGGCTTTGCTATAGATATGCGGATGTCTTTTTCATGGCTTTAAGTTTACATGGTTCAAAATTTATTACTTTATTATTGATATACAGAAGGAAACTTCGCTTCTAGGCTTGCTTACTGCGTTTTTCACAAACATGCAAACTCCAAAGTTCAAAAGCCGCCTTCACAATTGCTTTTTTCGCTGCCGTCAATCATAATTACGATCACAAGCAACGAACCTTGAAACACAGAAACACAAAACGGGTCGAAACCTACCAATCACAAATCCAAAACCATGACCTTTTGAACCCGTTAAAGTAAAGTTTTGTTTCCTAAGAGGTCCGTTTAGATGATTGACGGCAGCGAAAAACGCAATTGTCAGTTGGCTTTTGAACTTCTGAATTCGCATCTTTGTGAAAAGTGCAGTAATCTTGAAATAACGTGCGTGCATTAACATAAGAAAAGCCCGTTTTGGAATGTGGACTGTGGATGTCGACTCAGCGCTGTCAGTGTTCACTATGGCTTTAGGATTTTAAAAATGTATGAAATCTTATGTGAGACAAAACTGACGTTAAAATATGTAGTTAACAAGAATGACTTGTTGTCTTTCATCCCTTTCGGACAATTAGGGGACAAAGAAAAGAATCCCCTCTGAAGCTTCAAAAGAGCAGGTGTTGTAGTCCTCAGTTTTGTGTGGATGTAAGAGAAGAGACTGATGTGAATTGTGATTTGCTTTCTGCTTTCACGTCATTGTGAATAACTCGAAGTATATGCATATCGCTATAACTGAGTGTATTTTCCTGGTTGCTTTGACGCTGTAAGAGTTTTCAAATCAAGGTTTTCAGTTGTGTTTCTCGTTGTAGTTGGTAATATTTGAATTCACTATTAATTTCATGACCGACATTTTAATAAGAAGCTTCGAGAACATTCACTTGTATTGATCTACTGATTTAGGCATCGTTAAGGATCTTAAATAGTTTTGATAAATGTATGTAGTCTGAATCCACCCTCTAAGCCGCCGTTAGGGGGGACGAGGGAGAGAGATGTCTAAATTCCGAGCGTTATAATGTTGTCCGGTGACGTCACCTACTTTTGCGAATACGGACTAGGTGTTTCTAGGGGGTGGAGACGTATGACATTTCAGACTAGTTTCTATGGTCACTGAAAAGTAGGAAGACTTCAGTAGAAACACCGAGAGGGTGCTAAGTTTAACGGTTTAATCCTCTTTAGATTACAAAACAGTATGACGGACTCATTTGAAGAACGGCGTATCGACAGTTCACTAGTAGATTCACATTATTGGGAAAGAGTTCGTAAGCTGGTACATAACAATAGTACATGGTATTGTCATCCAAGCAAAACTTAGGGTTTCTAACTGTAAGCATAGTCAATGTTTGCCTGGCGCTCTGTTCCTTTTGAAGGCTTTGTAAAAATGATTCAAATGTCCAACATTGTTTATTCTTTTCCTAGTTCGTTCATAATCATCCGTTGCATACTTTAGATCCCTCGATTGGGATTGTTTTCCTCCAAGGATCTACACAGAAGAAAGAAAAGACAACTTTAACTTTTTTGGTATTTGTTTGCTTCTCCCGGCACGCTACAGGGCTGGGTTGTTCAAAGCAGGGTTAAGATAACCCAGGGTTAGTGCAAAATTTCAATTCAGATATGAAAGCTCAAAAAGCAAATTCAGTTTTATTCTTTTTGTCCACAATTTGATGATTTGATGCTCTAAAAAGAATAGAGAAAATTATCCTGAAAAATGCTTTTGAACAAAAGAAAAAGAAACGTGGGTTAAAATGTAATCCTGGGTTAGCGCTAACCGGCTTTCGAACAACTGGGCCCAGGTCGCTAAAGCACAGTGCTTAAGGCAAGTAAAGTTAACGAGGCAGCTTAGGAAGCCAGGAAATTTGGCTTCCTGCTGAATCCAAAAGAATATCAGATTCTTTAGGGCGTAAAAAAAATTAACACATTTCGTTTGAAATGGCTTGATTGCAGGCTCGTTAACTTCGTGCTTCTCTTAATTTCCTTGTCAAATGTGTTCTAAAGAGTGTTGAAGATAGCCAGAAATTAAAAAATGATATTTGTCCATGGTTTCAGCGAGACCGTAAAGAATTCAAGTACCAGCAACTTACCTTTCTTAAACGTTATAGGGGCCAATTCCACGTGAGTAGTTAGCCGCAATAAATGAGAACAGTATATATATTGCTTAGGGAATGAGTGTAAGGACCGCTGTATTATCAGACACAGTATTCAGAGTCTTTAAGAGATATGGTACACGCCCGATACTCACTGTTTTTTCAACTATTGTGATTCACCTTGGTTACCATGAATAATAATAGGGTAAATAGAGGAGATAAGACTTGCGGGATTTAGAGAAAACTTAAATTTGGACGATAGAAAAGTCTCGCTTTTGAGCGGCAAGAAAACAAGTGAACTGACCGAGGTCCTCACCTCTGCCAGGCTTAAAGAAAAAGGCTTTTTGACGTCCATGGCCAAAATTACTAATAATAGTTAACTACCTTACCTCGTATCGTGGCGGCTGAAGTACAGGTGAACGGCCATATAGGTATTTTGAGCTTATGTGAGACAGCTGTCCATTGATGAGATGAACTTGAACTACTAGAAAGCTGAAAAAAAGAAATGAAGAATTCATTTTTTGAATTCTTCCCATTTAAAAACTGCTCCTTTCTGAATGTTGACAGAAGTAAGACCCTTTAAATATACAAACAGGGCGCTTAATTTTATCAACAAATTTCATAAGTTTACGGAAGGACGTGGTTACGGGGGTGTTCCAACATGACGCGCTTATATCAATTAATTTCCTTGGTCGTCAGAAGTGTGTTGTTTCCTGTCTTATGTTGGGAACTTCCTTTTTCTGTTCTTTTCAATTGGAATTGTAACATTCACATCAGACAGTGCAATATAGGTAATTAGAAAAGTACTTTCATATTAAGGCATAACTTGTTGAAGGATACAAATGTACCGGAATATTTTGCCCTTTTTTTCTTTACGCCTCATCATCAACCAGCCCGCCTTGTACATTCATACTGTACGACAGCGTCCGTAGCAACTAGCAGAAGAATATTCACTCCCGTTAGTCAATAGATTGTCCTCTAGAAAGTTAACTCACCCATACCAGAAATGCGGATGAAAATTAGTAGCTCTTGTTGTGGGTCAGTGGGTTAACTTAACTGTGGAGGAGTTGTTGAGGGCTACCTCGCTTGTGGGCATATTCACCTCGATCACACTCGGTTAAACCGCTATCATAGATTAAAGAAAGACGAGGTTTCTGATCAAATCATAGAACTCGTCAAATAATCCTCGCATGCTCTTTTGTTCAATCATCTCTCGGTCATTTATTATAATTGCCGACATAGATTACACAACGGCAGCCTTGTGCTTTGGCAATCTAACCTGCTAGTGTAGTTTCGTTAAGAAGGATGTCAACCGAATAACATTTATTTCAGTTTAGGGTTTTCCTTAACGAAAAGCTCACAAAAAAGGTTACGGCGAAAAGAAAAAAAATGGAACTGGTCGCGGGTTCGAAGATGACTTTACCTAACCCCTGGAGCCTTGATGACACAGTGCGGTTGCAATAGAAAATCTAGTGCAAATTTCGTATTTTGGGACGGTGAATTACTTATAGTAATGAGTACATTTACGTGTCCAATCGGTCATTTTTAAACTGTGGGTAACGTATGATATTTTCTCCATGTCCCCTTTTTCATTGTCTTATTATCACTTTTTTTTCGTAGACCAGAAAACAGCAGCTAATGGTGATACATGTATACAGTACTACCACGCAAGTGCTAAACTTTGTTTTTAAGAACCTGTTAGGCTACAATTTGTCAGTAAGACCTCCTCTGTACAAAAACCTGTTTAGAAGTTTGCAACAGGCTGTTATTTTCAAATAAAATGATGTGTACTCTGAAGGTGATCAGTGCTTTAATTTGTTTTTACTGGTAAGCAAATTTTTTGTAACGAGCAGGTTGAATACTAGATTCTCTTAAGTGCAATGTATTTTTTTTGTCCAGAAAATAAGAACCTAAAAGCCTGTTCAGGCTAACTTGGGAAAATCTAAGCTCTTACTCGAGGAGTAATAATGTTCCCACGCTGCGGTAAATTTCAGTCCAAATTGTTGTCTCTAATTTATCATTCTCAGCCAATACATTTGTAATGATAGACTACGGTTTTCACGTGTGCTTTCTTGTTGCGCTCGCTCTGCTATCTTAAAGGAAACATGAGGAACTACTTGTAGTTTATATTAATGAATGCTTGCCGTACCGAAATATCACACACTTGTTACTGACCCATGACATTTTAATTTTTCCCTTTATACCATCAGTTTTTGTTCTCTCGAACAGATAGCAGTTATTTATAACCACAGTAAAAAGATGCGCTTGATGGACATTCTTTTGGAAAGAAATTAAGAAAGGGTGGCCGCCTGATTACTCACTGTATAAAGAGTTACAGAAACGTCTGTTATTACTTGAAAAACATTTTGTTTTATTGCGTTGTTAATGCAACGAGAACTTCATATTTCGCAACGAAATACACGGGTTAGCAATTCTGCCCAAGAAAAGTACCATAGATAACGTGAGCACGTTCTTTGAAATGTTAAAGGTTATTTGGAAATGTAATCATTGAAACAATTGAAATGTGCGGTCAAATCCTCTGGTTGGCTTACACTGAAAGGAAGTGATAGTCAAAATATATTGACATGTTTATTGTATTTAGGACAAACATTACAAGGTTTAAATTCCTATATTATGCTTTTACGGTGCTACTGTTACACAGTTTTATTTAGTCGTAGTTTATTGATGATACTTTTAACTGCCACAATGTTTAAACCTTACTAATAGTAAGGTTCAATTATATTGTAACGTTCACTGTTCCACAAACGTAGGTGCTTGTTCTGGAAACCGTCCTTGATGACTAATCCCGTCTCTCCCTGATTTGTCGTTTGGTTCTCTTTGTTGATTTCGATATCCACTGATGTAATTTCTACGCCTCGTTGTTTCTTCATATCCTGGGACATGCTGTAAGATATTGAAATCATTAATTTTCGTCTATGATGCCAATACCCGGCCGTGGCAGAGTATTAAATTACTGTAATTAATTACATTTTACAAAGTATAAATTTGAAACGCAACATCATCAGAGAAAAAGCAGACGGAGAGTGGAAGAACTGAGCATAAAAAACTAAACTGGTATAATTTATTTGTTTTGTTTTCTTTTTGGCCAAGATAAAGATATGGCGTAAGAAATTTTGTTGACCCTTCCAAAGCTGACTAAACATTACCATGGCTAGCTAAAAGTTTCCAGCATCAGCCTTTTGTGAAGCAACAAAGTTTTCCTGACTCGAGGTTTGGGAATAAAATGATCAATTGTTTCTAAAGTTGCAGTGGTTACCTCACCTCTTAATGAGTTGTTTACTTTTTTTATTGATATATAATCCTATTTTAAGCTGAGGAAGATGCTCCTGAGACTCGTAACAGATAGGTGATCTTTCAACCTCGAAACCAACAAAGTTGGGATGGCTGATTTTACTCAAGAGTATTACTAATTAAAATTAATAGTCTAACCTTATGGAATGGTCCAGGATCAAGTGTTCGTTTCTTTCCCTGTCCCACGTAGCTAGGAACTGACAAACTGCTGTACGTTTGTTGAAAAGTCAAGCACAGCACAATCAAGCAAAAAATCAAAAATCTCGTCATGGTTTACAGCGCACCTAACGCCAAAAAATCTGTTTTTACTGAAATGTGTTTAACAGCAACATGGACGAATTCTTATATTCACAGAGCAATTCTATAGCTTAGCATGATGAACATTCTCATTTAAAAAAAAAATTAAAAAACGATCTTTTTTTAACCTTCACCTAGATTCCCAGTGTGTGTGGTTTTAAGTTTTGCCGAATCCGATCGATATTAGTTTTGCTACTTCAACTTTTGCATTTTCCGCTACCCAGAGTTTGTTGTGTTCTCTTTCAAAAACAAAAAGATGCTATATCGAACGCTCTGGTTTTTTAGTGAAAAGCTCGGCAGGATAGCGGAAACCTCCTAAGAATAGGTTTTTAAGTGGGTGGCGTAAAAATTATGACAATTTAGAAATAAAAAATGAAACTGAATCGATACGAAAATGAGCCAATTTCGAAAAGCGCAGCGGTATAGAAAAAGCTGGGCCTGAGTGACACAGCTGATATTGAAATGACTAGTTATTAAACATAATTTTATCGTTAATGTCCGGCATATTTCTCTCCCGCAGACAATCCTGAGGCCTTGACATTTGTCTTGGAGATTACGTAAAGTATGAGAATCAAATAAAAAGTGCATGTGATGATCAAAGCTATGCACAACTTTTCTTTGATACCACTTATGATACTGTATATAAGGAAACTGAAAATTATTGACCAAAGTGAGTGTAAATAGTGGAGGAAGGACAAGTATAAATATCCTCCACTCAAACCGTCACTGAGGTGTTTTTTTTTTAGTAAATCCCTAGCCATAGCTGGGACGTAGACGGTGAAATAGCCAACACAAAATTGAGCGTTGATTCCGGGAGGAAAGATCGAAAAATCCCTCTAGTTCTATAGGTAAATACTTCACGCAAGTGATCGACAAAAAATATTGCCTAATGTTGCGTCTGTTGACGTTTTTTTTTAATTCTCAGACTTAGCTTCACTCCTTATCTGTTTTCATTAAAATTCACTGGAGAAAGTAGCTTTAGAGGTGCGAGATACCATTCATGAATCGAATTCATGACACGTTCTTCAGTAAGGCAATCATAGATTATTCTAGCCAAAAACAGAACTGGATCGTTTACGATTTAAATTTCCATTGCCTAAAACAAGGATTTATACGCATTAAAGAAACTGTTACTTTCAGGAGTCTTGTAGAGAATACTTTGAGTCATTTGGACTAGATATCCCCAGTATTCATGTCAAATTGCTATTGAACTGTAAAGTATCGCTGTGTTCACTGAAGTCGAAGTTCTCGATTGTAAACAAACATTTGTTACCGCTGTTAATCAAATTTATTAGTCAGAGCCAAGAGAGAATGAACGGAGGACAATTATCAGAATAATCTCTTCCGAGCCAGCCAATTAGGGCGTGCCAAAAGTGCTATTTATTGCTAGTAATACCAACAACACCAGGGGAATTACTTTTCCGCTGGCTAGTACGTTCCTCAAGAGTTTTTAGCAACCTCGGTACGAGGTTGAGTTTTTTGGATGTCAGTTTTTATTGCCAACGAGTAGCCTTGCGAAGACACGAGGCGGCAAGGGGGCAGCCTAATAAAGCCGTGCGCGAAAGTTCAGAATGAATCTCGAATCGATGTAACATATAGTCAGATGTAGTAGTGTAAGGTAACGTTTATGACGTAATGCAGAACAGAGAATGCATTGTTTTCGAGCGAACACGTGATAATGAAGACAGAATCCACGGGCCGTGTGCGTGTTTGTGAGTCCCGTGTTCAACCCATCTTCAACCAATCGTCGGGTGGATTCATTTGCATCATACCCGTATAGCTATCGCATTTGCTCGCTGGAATTTTTTATTGCCTGCCGCTAATAATAAGGGCGCAAAATTTATTGTGTCTTTGAAGCAAAATAATTCGAAGGCTTCATAGGGGCGCCATAAATATTTTTATTTTCTGAAAAGTAGACTTCCTAAGCTTTAGAATGAGACCTAATATAAATCTGTACGTTGAATATTCACGCACTTTAATATGATTTTTCGAGGATTCTAAGTTCGCTTATACTGAAGACCACTAAATTTTAAGCAAAATGACCTGTGCGCAACTTCGGACTAAAACACGAACTTCAATATCTCGAAAAATATGCTATGTAAAGTCGGGATTTCAAATTCTTTATGCAGAAGAACAGTTTGTTTCTCCTTTTTCAAGGTAGTTTTCGCTTATGCAGTCGAATTGAGTTCAGACTATTTTTCGTAAATTACGGTAATTCATGACATTTCTAAACAAATTGAACAGCGCGCGCGTATAGGTAAAATCTTTGCTCGTTGGCACATAGGTGGTACCGTTTTTAGGAGGACAATTTGTGTCTTTTTACTTAAACTACCAGAATGCTTCGGTTTTTTTCTTTTTTCTTGGGCAAATCACGGTTATCGTATTTTTAAACCTTAGCGGGGTTGACAAATTTAAACAAGAAAGCAAAAACTAAATGAATTCTCTTAGTTGTAGTCACATGTCGTCATCGCGAAATGGAAACGGAGAAAAAATCTCATTTTTCAAACAGAAACAGATGTGTAGACGGGGCCTACGCTCCGTGCTAAGTGGACATCGCGTGACGGGTAGTCTAAATACTACGGTGTAAGATAAAGGCCGCGTCCACACGTATCCGTATCCGTTTTAGCCATCTGCCCACACGTCAAGGGTCTATTAAGGCACCAAAAACGCAGGTTTCCTAAACGGTCCCCAGAGTGGAGATTTTTTTAATACACCGACTTCTCGTATACGTGTGTGGACAGACGAAAACTGAGGTTTTCGAATGCGATAATGTCATACATCATATACGACTGTTATTGCGCATGCTCTGAATACAATCTTATTTCCGTCGTTTTAGTGGTTTCATGTGGACGGGCGAAAACGATTCAAATACGCTTTGTGGACGCGTATTTTTCTGACGTTTTTGTTTTCAAAAATACCCGGATACGTACAGGGCCTTAGACAATAAAACAAAGTATCATAAGGTGAGGGTGCGCTCCACTCACAGGAACTTTGCACTCGATAGCTTTTTCCCTTGCATTACGCTTCTTGTCATTGCAATAGTTGTGAAATTTGTTTGGAAAATCGAAATTACTTACGCCGACCACTATTAGGCAATGAAAAATTTGGTCTTACTAATGGCCACGGGGTAGCTTCATAAAGCCTTTCTTATCTAATATGTTACAAAAACTTTAGACAGTAATTCTGCGGGGTTAAAACGACATATAATTTGAACGATTGTTTATGCCTGTGATCGACTTTCAACGAAACGCTCAGTTGTTATTTGTAAGACTGATTACTTGGTTATCAACAGACGCTCGAATGGTGGTATTAGTAAGGTGATATAGATTCAAGGACGAGAATGGCAACGAAGACGAAATTTAATTATGCTTTTTTCACGTCAAATACTAGACACCCAGGAAAGCTTCATTGTAGGGTCATTTTTGTTAAGGCTAAAACCTCTCCCTCTCGAAAAATGAGAAAAGTTCTCATCACTACGTCATTAATTCTTGCTAATTCTCGTAGTAGAATGACGACGGCTATCGGGTTTTCCCGTCAAAATAACGCTGGTCCACGCGCTCGCACTACTTGGTATTGAGAAAATCTCGCTCTCTTTCTCCTCACTCGTACTCGTCCTAGAATCTAAAGCTCTCTAATATGACTCTAAAAGGACTCTAAAAGGCAGTCTTTGGTCGTAATAATCTAATAACGGGGTGGTTGTAGAATAAAGGACTGGTAAGGCGAGGTTCATGCTGCTGTTGTTTTTTATTTTGTTTTTTATTATTCGAGAAATCTTTTAGGCATTTCTTTTTACAGTACCTTCTTTTCATGAAAAACTGATATTTCATATTTTTTACCTTGGCCTATATTGTGATGGGCTGTTAGGGACAAAGCATAACTTCCCTATTGTAATGCCTCCGCAGTCTGCGATATCAATAGTTAGAATACCGGAACAATGAAGTATGATTGTATTTTAGACATGGAAGAAATCAAACAAACAACCGTGCGGAAATCTTCATAAAAACACATCAGCTAATCAAAGAGCTTGTTTTGAAAAATCTAGGCGGATTTCTTTTGCACTATTTTTTCGAAGAATAATATATGCGTTTGAGTTTGCAAACAAACTCTTTCGCAATGAGTTTTGAATCTTAAATTTTTAATAGAAATGTTACGAGTATTGCAAAAGTCATTATGGCTTGTTTTACAACAAAACTTATCCAGTAATAACAAATGTCTCATTAAAAATGAAGGCAAAAACATTAACATATAGCGCATGCTGTTAGCTCGTAATACTGTGCTTTTCAAAACACGGGACGTGAGTTACAAGAATTTATTAAATTATGTGTTATGTATGTCTGCAGATGTGTTTTAATACCATTTTTGTAATAGCGCCATCATGGATCTCTAATGATTTAACGCTGTTCATGATTAAAGCCAAACATAGACTTCTTGGTAATTTTCACCCCGTATCCTCTGAGTGGTTTTATTCTCTGTTAACCATAGTTGTCAGATCCTTGATTTTCGCTGTATGCTCTTTGATTGCCCTTGGCTATGATTCAGTGTCTGTGTTAGAAATGCCAGCAAAGATCGTGTAAGTTGTAAAAATAAGGGTCGTGAACCCGAATGAATCTTTTACACATAAAGTTTCAAAAATTCAGTTTGCAGTTTCTCCGTTGAGTTGTAGAGAAATTGGATTGAAAGACTCTTTAATAGTTAATTAGTGCTACCACTGTCCTCCGGAATAGGACAGAGACAAGCTATAACAGGTCTGGGCTAGGTTTGAATTGAGGAAGGGATTTTGAAGATAGGGCTGAAAAGTGCATATCAACTTCATCTGCTTTTAGGGTGATTAGGGTGTGCCAACTACAGATCCCAAAGAACAGCTATAAGAATCACTTATTTGAGGGATATCTTTATCTCTGTTGTATGGAACGAAATAAAATACGTGGTATTGTTCAAAGAGAAACCGGTTGGGATTTTTGCTTGGTTTATTCCATGTAGAATTTGTAGGTTAAAATGGAAGCATGACACTACAGAATGTGGACTGGTTTGTGACTCACTTGAGAATTGGGTTGCACGATATTTTCCAGCGCCTTTAATTATACCAGATATATGTTTATTCTTGAGGATAATAAAATTTTTCATTAAAAATGTAAGACCCAAAAATAATTAGACTATACCCTTGCCTGGCATTTCAAGTTCGAGAGTTGCTAACCACGTTAAGATCTTAGTAAATCAGTTAAGAATTCTGCGAGATAGCCTTTTTGATACCTTGAATGGAAAACCTATGCTATTTGCGTTATTTTTTAATAAAATTCATATCGCAAGTTTATTTATTTATCAAGATAACCTGCACAGAAAGCAAAAAAAAAATTGATTAAAATAAACTGTTGTTCCGATACAAATACTTGTAATTTTAACGTTTAAAACGTGGACTGGTGCGTCTATACCTGCAGTTATAGAGAAACGTTCTGTGCGACGAGTTTTCAGGTTCGAAAGCGGCCGTAACTAAGTAATGTGCTGCTTTTGTAATTAATTCACCCTGCGTTAATTTATTCAGTTATCAAATTCATCATAATCCTGAAAAAATTTCTCCTTTTTTGTTAAGAGACTGGCGAGGCAACTGGCCCGTTTGTTGACAAAGTTTAAGACCTGCATCGAGATTTAGAGTGTGAAAACACTGTTCCGCGCTGTGAAGCTAAGTTATCAAACGGTTTATTTCTTTTTGTTTTTCAGTTTGGTCGCTGATTGTAGAGAACACATTTCCGACAGGTGAGTGGAGCATAATAGCCCAGCAGTAATTGGCAAAGACAATCAAGTGTTAATTGCAAATGGAATAGCCAAGGTTGTTTCGAATTTAATCCTGAAATTTGAACTTAATATAACTTGATGGTGTAACAAGAGTACTTTCATAGTGCAGTAACCTCACGAATGTTCTTTGAGAAGCGACAGTGAAGAGAGCGATACGCAGGTAAGAAATGATTACCGGAATATGTCGTTCAGTGTTTGATTTTTCGCCACGCATTTCAACTTTATATAATAATTACAATCTGATATCAAAAGCAACAAAGATAACTTAACCCTTCTACCCGTTCAGTCAAAAAGGTAAGTCCTACCATTAACCTTCATTTATTAACCATATATACACAAGAAAGAGAATGTTTAAATTAATTTTTTTTTCACGATAAAATGCCACACAGTCATTTGCTTCTGACTGCTAGGAAAATGCAGATTACGAAAATTATTTGCAGAGTCCAGCAGTTCATTTCCTTTTCTTCTCTAATCCGTGTAGCCAACGGTAGGAGATTAAAGTGTGTACTTTGAAACAAAACAAGAAACAACCACTTTGTTGCATCACTCCGTATGAACTAAACTCTCTACTTCGAATCAGGCAGGCAGGTACTTTGAACCCATAAAAAACCTTAACCTTATGCTAGTTATCATTAATAAATCGAAATAAACATTGGACTAAAGTCGGCAAAACTAACAATAACTCATGTAGGGCTGTAAACTGATGCAGTTTTACCATTATTTTTTAATGGGCCTCTGGTTTAGGGCTATTTGGATTGCAAGAATTTTGTTAGTGATACGCTTCGAGCGATTGTAAAATATCACTGGCTATGTTCCCTTTTAAAATATGATATCAGTGTTACTTGGACTAGTTTTTTAAAGTGGAATATGTGGGTTTTTGTGGAGCTCGATAGACTTAGCTGGAGTCTCCGGGTCTAAAAGATTGGAAACGGGCTTAACGAAATCGGAAAGGAAAAAAAAACAACAAATCTTCAAAATTCACTTTTGTGCGAGATATTTTTTATTGTTAAGCAGGATAAATTGGTGGACGCCTCTTTGTAATATCATAGTGGCTCTGTTATGTAACAATTATTACCATTTCCTTGTGTCACCTTTGTTGTTCCTTGTTAGCATTATTACCCCTGCTGAGAGACCTAAACTGAGTTGTTATTACTTCAAAGCAATCAGTACAGCCACCTCCAGTAGGACATAATGTGAGAGAAAAGGTGTTCACAAGCGCGACACTAGGGCACACTGCATACTAAAGAAACCGTGATTACGAGCAAAAAAAAACCAGTATTGAAAACCTCAAACGAAAAGGTTGCATACTCATTTAACCTTGAAAGGAGGGCCTAGATAATTTGATCTGTTCGTCTTGCTGTAGTAACTTTGCATAATGGGTGATAGCGACAACTTTAAATCAAGCAGAATTAAGCGAAAGAATTCTGGAATACCGTACTACAGTCGAACCTCCATGTGCGACCATCTCTCGTAAGCAATCACCTCTCATTAAGCGACCGCCTATCCAAAACACCAAACTTTTCCAAGTCAAAGCCTTACAGTTGTAAAGTAAACGACCATCTCCTGTAAGCGACGGCGACCACCTTTTTGGGCCTGAAAGTTTAATGATATTCCAGTGGTTTTTAACCTCTTGTAATCGATCACGTATTCTCTGATCTCTAGGTTCGCTGTGTGCACTATGCTACTTAGAATATACGAAGAACTTCAGTGAAAACATGGAACTACACATGGCGTATCTTAGAAATTGCATGCGATAAATTATCTTCCATAAAGACTATGTGCTTGCACCTCTTCTCGGAAGAAACCCCTGAGGTTCGTTTCTTGTAAAGGACCACCTCTCGTAAGTGACCACTCAGTCTTTGCGTTTTGGGTGGTCGCCTACGGGAGGTTCGACTCTAAAACACTTGGAGACTGATGACACGCCAAAAAACTTAAACTAAGTGCATCTGTTTTTTTTTTTTTAAATTATTATTTTGTTCTTGGCAGGCTCTTACTTAGATTTTAAAATTTGCTTTTGCCCCTTTTCCTTCTTCTTGTCTTCTTCTTCTCCAGTCTTCTTCTTCTTAATCTTCTTCTTTTACGTGCAAACTCGTCTGGCTAATCAATGTTTGTTACGATTTTTGCAGATATATTTCGCTTTCAATAAAACTGAGTACAGCCCGTGTTGTGTAGCCTTTACTTATATTAATTATGAACACATTATCTTTTCAAATAGTTTCGGTAGTGATTGAAATATTGCGAATCACGAACGCACTTCTGGTACAACCAGTTTAAGTGGCAATCAAATCACTCAAAGATCTCTATGCAAGGAACTTCAGAATAATTCCTCTATGAGTTTACATAAAGATTGTCTAGAAAGAGAAATGTGGCTTTTTGAACTTCATTCCGTGATGTTAACGTCAAATGAAAGCGCATAAGGGTTTCAAGACTCAATCCACAGCTCTTTAAATAAGCGGTAATGACGCATTATTTCTTCTCATCAGAGCGGTATGTGTTTATGCTTGACAGTAACGACTTGACATCATAATTACAGTGGAGTTTGATGCACCACTCAGGGCCAAGAAGCCTGTAGTGTCTCTTTTAACAGACTTTTATGGCACCACTTCGACGCAGCATATTTTGTCGGTCTTTTGTTATAAAAGTCGGCCCCGACAATGACGCACAAGTTGACATAAAACACAGTTTTGAGGAAATGTAATTCAAATAAGAATTTGCATGTAAAACAAAAAAAATTTACTGCGAACTTATTTAACGGCACGAAATCGACCAATTAAAACTTTATTTTATTCCTTTTTTGTTTTGTCTAGACGAATTGTCAATTTTTAAAGTTGTGCTTTATAACTTTTTCCCTCTAGGTCTCTAACAGCACCATGGAAACAGAGCTAAATGCCATAAGAGAAAAAACGGACCACTGCGTGAAAGGAGCGAAAGAAGTTTGGAAGTCAGAGACTGACGAAGCCTCACGCGTGATCAAAGATTTCGGGTCTTACACTACGCTACATGGGTTCCATTTCATATTTGACTCCGGCTCGCTGATACGAAGAATTATCTGGATAACCCTAATATTGCTGGGCATTGTTTTCCTTTTCTTCCAATTTCGAGATAACTACCGAAAATATCAAAGGAACCAGAGCATCATAAGCAAATCCGTTGAGCACGATGAAAAGCTTTTATTCCCTGCAATAACTATATGCAACCAGAACATGATGAAGAGGAGCAAAATTCTTGGAACGGATGCCCAAACGTTCCTTGACCAACAGGATTTTGTCAAAATTCACGTCTTAGGTAAAAGCCTCATGGACAAAGAAGTTGATCCGTCGCTTAAAGTTGACGAAATCGTCACGAACAACAGTCATGTGCTCTCCGAAATGCTGCATACGTGTACCTTTCAACACCAAGAATGTTCAGCCGCTAACTTCACTTCATTCCTCTCATTGATGGTAAAAGTAAATGATAATATCAGATAGAAACAGGGAAAATAATGAGCTGTTATTGAATAGATGATCAGATGAATACGATATGAAGATTTATACATATCGCGGAGGGTTTTACCAGCCAGAGGGGTGGAGGGCTGATGTGGTAACACCCGTCGACATCTGCATAATTCTCTTCATCATACGAAAGCCGACGAATATTCCCACCTTATAACATTCTTTCTGTGCCTTAAGTTTCTTTAAACCACTTTCCAGGCCTGATGTGCAGTTTGATGATATGACTGGATGTCATAGCACTTAGTAGTAGTTAATCTCCCTCACGTGGCTTTTCAGTTCTTGTCAGTTTCTTGCTATCTATTTTGGTCAGTACCTCTACTAATTCGGCTATTTTCTCTTCACTAATTGTTTTAAAATGCGTCGAAATCTTCCAGCCATTTTCCTCAAGAAGCTCAGGTTGTTTTGTGGTGACATACATCCTTGCGCAACTCATAGAAACTACCCGTGTTAAGTGAAACACCTCATAAGTCCAATCATTTTATTACAAGCAATCTCTCTTATTATATAGCTGAATCCACGAAACCTGTACTCTGATTGGCTACCTGGGAGGGCAAAATGGGTCCACCTTACCCGCTCGGGATTTCCCGCGTTGGTCCCTCAAGAAAAAGGTTCTTTTTTTGGCAGTACAATAAATCCTTTATATACCAAGCCTCGACTTCGTTTCGGTCCGTAGAAAACGCAAAAAAGAACTTGGCCAAACTCGCTCATGGCTGAGCATGGTTGGTCAATAACGCATATCTATATAATTTGTTTAGAGTTAGCACGTTGTAATTGAATGGATATGGGGAAAAGAAAATCTTTCAACCATCCTTCAGGCTAACTAGTATTTGTTAGATAAATCAAACGTATGGAAATCACAAAAGCGAAAGGTTTTAATTTATAAGACTAAAATGTTCATGATGATATGTTGGTTCGATTGCGCGTAACCCATGCAGAAATTAATCTCGACATCCCATTGGCGTTGAAGTAAACATAACCAAAGAACTACCCTAAAAATATAACAGTAATGCCTAGTGAAGACGCTCTTTAACCTCCTGTCTTTTTGCTTAGTATAATACTCGACGACGAGGACGACGATGATGATGGCCATGGTGATGGGGATATTGAGTGGCGTTGATGATGATGATGAAGATGATGATGATAATGATATTCATTGTGATAATTTTGTTCCCAGTTGTAGTGGTGATGATGATGACGGTGGTGATGGAGGTAATGATGCGTTTTTTCCATGTGACAGGTGTGGTGGTGTTCATGGCGAAGACAGTTGAGTCGGTTGAGGGGAGAGGGAGTTGAGTCAGTTGAGGGGAGAGGGGCGGGTACTTTTCTGTTAGATCCGTCAGTATTCTTCATGCAGGAGGCAAGGTGAGTAATCTAAAGCGTTTGGTATTTTTTCCTTTTCAGCGAGGTGTATGTTATACGCTAAATTCTGGGCATCCGAATCACACTAAACTGTACGTGACAACATCGGGAAAAATACAAGCCCTGACACTCTCCCTGGATGCACAGCCAGAGGAGTATTATGGACCATACAGTTATGACGCAACAGGTTTTAAAATTTTGGTTCATGATCAAAACGAGTCGTATCCCAACATTGAAGACTTTGGCGTGGATTTACCACCTGGTTTCACTACCAATATACGCGTGCGAAGGACTAAGGTAGGTTTGCAAAAATTGTCATCATCATTGTTTGAAACATCTTTTTCCAGACACCTGGTCCCAGTTGTTCAAAAGGTGGATAGCGTTCCGGGGGGGGTGCTTGGGTTAATGTTTGTTGGGTATTTGCCAATGGCCTCTCAGAGCCCCTACCCAATTATAGTCTATTTTTTGGCCAATTATAGAGCCCATCTTCGTCACTTTTTGCAAAATGTAATTTTCGCGATCCCAACTTAGTCACTTGTAATGCGGTCAATACGAGCTTATAGTTAAATTTAATAAACAACAACTTTCTGATTTTTTTTAACCGAGCATCTTCCCATTTTGAATCCCTACTTACCCCAAAAATCCGAAAATTTGCAACCCCATTCTAGTAACTCCATTGAAAATGCGACCCCATTATAGTCACTCCAGTCGGAAAATGCGACCCCATCCAGCGGCACATCCCCAATAGCCTCTTGTAAGAGAGTATCCCCCCCCCGGGATAGCGTTATCCAATGGATAATTCACTATCCAGTGGATACCCAATTAGTTTTCGTAATACTTATCCACTGGATAGAGATTTATCCGGTGGATAGCGCTATCAAACGTTTGAACAGCCGGGGCCAAGCTGTAAATCGCCCATTTTCTCGGTGCAAGGTTCTCCCATATATGGGATCGATAGGTATGTCCAGCAAAATAAGATATGATTTCTGAGGGTCTTGATCATCCTTAAGTAGGGTGTAGTATTTGTCCTTGTTGGCGTTGTGGTCCCAGTGTGATCCTTAGACAGGGTACACAAATTGTATAAGCTAAAATTCCAGTACGTAATTGTAAATACCCAGGTACTGTTAGTGTTATGAAAGTGATCTAATGAAGATTTGCGTGTTTCTGTTAATTTCTTATCCGTTATTTTTCCCTTTTCCCTCTGTAATTATTGCACTGTAATCTTTGTTATCGTTGTAAACACATGTGCCTTTAGGCGCTCTGTTGATAATAAAGCAAGCTGTCTATCTTAAATAGGCTGTCAATTTCTGTTTATCTTTATCCTTAAATAGTTTTTAAGATGGTGTGCGGAACACACCTATCCGAAATTTATGGGAGTATCCCCCGGGACCAAGAGTAATGACATCCAAGGCCAGAAAGATTACAGCTGACCATAGTAGTAACAGCTTTATATGCCTAATCATTTTTCATGTCTTGATTGTAGACGATAAGTCTTCCGAAGCCATTTAAATCCGGTTGTGGTACAAAGAAGCTGGACTCAACTTTTCCGGTTTACACGGAATACGCATGTCTGTTGGACTGTTACACCAAGATGGTTGTAAACGCGTGTGACTGTCGCATGATATCAATGCCACCGATGAGTAAGATATTTCTTAATGCATTAAAAATGTAAATAGCTGTTTATTCTTGTTTTGCACTTATTTATGTTTGGTCGAGAACCTTTGACTGACGACAGCTCACAAAATGGAAATTGCACGATCTTTTCCTTTTATTTTTCTTGCCATTTTTTTTGTTACGCGCTTAGTTTTTCGAGCTTTATTTCCATTACTGGTTAGTGTTTGTAGATATTGAATAGTTGTGCAATGTCGTATTGGTGGCCGATTCAATAAACGTTTTTCGAAGAATTTACACGAAAATAAAGTTCCAAGTGGAGAGAAATGCTTTTGTTCTTGACCATCAACATGGCCACCGTGACGTCACGTGCAAACCCGCAATAGATAAATGACCTCACATGACGTTTTTTACGTCCACCATATAAGTGTCCAAAACACAGATGTCCCATGCAAATCAGTACTGTAGGAGTTGTTGAACCACGTACACTTTCTTTTGTTCCCGTAATTTGCATAGCTGCTGGCCACGTAAGTGAAAACGCGTCAGCCTTCTTTCCTCAGAGTGTCAGTCAAATGTTATTCCGTCACTTCGTGTCACTTCTGCTAAGTTTCTACCGGTAAATACGGATAATTGATCATCTTTTATTACATGTTTAGCCCACAATGGATAGACTGTTAGCTTATGTTTTTGCTGGCTTGTTCATGTATCCGTTGGAGTTCTATGATTTGTAAACATTTCATGTAAAATGACCACTCACTGTTCATTGATCGCATGATGTTATATATTTTGTTTCATTACGGGGTCCACTGATAAATAACCAATGCTATCAGTGGAGGCGTAGTTGTCTAGTCTCCTCGGGTGTGCAGGTAAGGGTTTTAGCCTTTACCAGAAACCTTTCCTTTAATGCCCCACTTTGTCTCTTTCGACACTGCCTGGTGTGACAGATTGATACTGTGAACATTCGGCCGGGGGATGGTTGAGGGTGGGGGAGGCTCCAAGGTTGAGATGAAATGAACTTCGCCGTTATAGGCCTCATTGGTTCAAAGCTTTTCTTTACCCTCTGTTGTAAATTAACTAAGTCAAACTTCATAGTTCTATGCACAAATAAATTTTATAATTATTCCTACAGGTGAAGTTAACCATACAAGATTCTGTAGTGCAAAAGAGCTCCTCAAATGTGCTTTTCCAAAAGCCAGTAAGTGACAAACGAACAAAAGTTTTAACAGCCATTTTAAGGCTCTGAAAAAAGGACTAAGTCGGAAATATTGATAATATTCTTTTATCCTTGTTTTTTAGCAAATTTTAACCCGAGCCGCTGTGATTGCCCCGTGCCTTGTAAAAAAATTGACTTTCAGGTGCAGTCTTCCATGGCCTATTCTCCGTCGAGCCACTTGTGGGATACCCTCTTGCCACTCTATAACATCACACCAAATGATACAGAAAAAGTCAGAGAGTACCAAGACTATGTCAGGTAAACCTTTTATAATGTCAACCTCCTAGAAATTCTTTACGCCATCTCCCTGATCTTTCGCAATAATTTCGAACTCGTGTAAGAGTGTTTCACATGCAGATTTCAAACACTAGCTTAACACTGAAAAATGAAGCATAGTAGGTGTTTTTTTTTAAGCAACTTGGAAGTCGATTTGGATTTATTACCCTTGCAGATTTTCAAGGAAACTATCACCTATTCAATTCATGTAGATTGTTCACTGTTTGTTTATTTTCTTTTAAACGAATGTGAGAAAATACTTACTTCTTTTAAAACTCTTCACTCAGCTAGCTTTATCTTCAAACCCACCGACCTCTTATGGTCAGTGCACACAAGCGGGATTGCCTCAAGACTTGAATCCCTCAATTTTTAGATCTTACAAAGAGGCATACGTGGCCTACAGTGGTCTTTTCGGACACACTATTCGTCAGTTCCGGGTTCGAGTTCGGCTCCGACCACTAGCTGGATTAGTTTCTAGGCGATCGTCCTAGTTCAAATCCTTTGCTACGCTTGTAAATCTCCAACTGGTTGCCTTCTGCTAGTTGATTTGATTACCGTTTTTAATGATTTGAATAGAGTACTTATAGACAAGGTGGAAAGCTAAATGTACTTCTCAAACTTCGATCGACAGAAGTTTATTTAATTTTAACTACTATTATACTTTTTGTTTCTTTTAAATTGTTAGAAAAAGGATGGTACAAGTGAACATTTATTATGAAACTCTGGACACAGAGGTAACCGAGGAGAAACCTGCTTATGATCTCAACGATTTTGGATGTAAGTATGAACTGTATGTCACGTACAGTCGATTCTTTTCAGACCCTTCTTGAACACTGACACCTCCCTCTCGGTGGCACCTGTTGTTCTTCAGTCAGACGTCCACATGCATGTGCGTCTCGTCTTGGAGGCCGAAAACGACGTACATGTCTGATAAGTCCGTCGATTAGACGCCGTTTGCGTCACTTTGCCTTACCATTTGTACTACACATCTATGATAAATGTCGTCTGATTTGGATATGGGCAACATTATTGTCCGTGTTTTCAGTTTAGTGTAGACTGCGAGCAGTTTATTATTTCTCTTTGGAAAGCTTCTCCACGGGTAACCCATGCACGCTTGTCCCATATTGTAATGTCGTTGTTTGCAATCGCGCTGGCTTAGATAATAACTGAACGGATTTCAAGAGAAAAGGCGTTTAGTCTAATTAGTGTGTATTTCAATTTGCTTTCAGCGGACGTCGGAGGTAACATGGGATTATTTTTGGGCTGCAGTCTCCTGACGCTATGTGAATTTGTTGATTTGATAGTGATCATGTGTCTTCAGTGCTGGCGGAAAAAGAACGCAGTAGTTCACGCGAGGGAAGATCACTTTAGATAAAGCTACCGTGAAGTTACACAAGTTCTCAAACCCGAGTCGACCAAAAAAATGGATGTTGATGACAAGACTTAAAGTCCCAGTAGTTCTAGAACTAGCCTGGAAACAGGCTCCTTAGTGGGGGGAGGCAAACGGGGTGAAACAGAGAAAAAAATTGGCGAAGGAAGGTGTACAGCCGAGAGGTGTACGGCTGCCCTTTCCTGTCCCCAGACTCCCGCTCTCACACTGCAGAGTCTGGTCCCAGGCTCCCTGAAAACGTACGGTTAGCGCTAACCCAGGGTTAAAATTATAACCCATTCCTGCAGGGGAGTTTCAGATAACTGGTTCTCTAAGTAACGCCTCCACAATATCTTTAGTTATCAGTACTGGTTACAATCTGTCCCAGGTTGTTCGAAAGACGGTGAACTTTCAAACCCAAGGCTTGGGTTAAAGTTTACCGTCTTTCAAGCAACCCGAAACAAATCCTTAACGATCTTAGAAATGAAGGGGACGCTTTAAATGCAAAATATACTCAGTTAGTTACTTTTACACGTGGCCGAGGATCTGAACTCGGGACTACCGAGAACAAATCCGCTAGCGGTTAGGGCGGGCCTTGAACTCGGGGCCTCCGGATTTCAAGACTAGTTCTGCGCTTTAACCGCTGAGGCCACGCGGCTTCCACGCTGCTTTCCATCGTCTCGGGATATGGACTAATAACTCAAGAGTTGCAGGTCAACTTAGTAAAGCAATCACCATTTATAAAATTATAAGATTGACTCGGGTCTGATAAGATCTCACGCTGTGGAAAAGCGAACAAAGTTAGCAAGATTACAATTTCAAAGCAGTCAGGCAGTAAACAGCGGCACTAAGGAACAGCACCTGTCAGCTTTTCTCACCCTGCTTTGAGTTGTATATTGCGTTTTTTTTCTCTTCCGATTCGCTTTTCCTCAACCTGAACAATCTGAATAGGCTCAACTATATAATCACTGGGTCCAAAATATCAGATGATTGCATGAACGTAAATTTTGGAAAAGCAGTTTATAGCATGTTATAATCTGCTCACCATCAGTGGTATAATCGATCATGCACTATCGTGTAAAAATAGTCATGACTTCATAATAGTCGGTCAAACAGATGATTCACTTTGGCTACTTTTATCTATAATTTTTGAGCAATTAGTTTTTAACTCTTTGTACCGAATTAAAGGAGTATTAAGGAGATACCACGCCATTTAGAATAAGCTGTGGAGAATAGTTGGCCAATATTCAAGATAGCTGTTTATACTTTTTAATCAATAAAGCGAGGATGTACTTTGATCTTTTATTCAACGAAAATGTAAAGTCTTTATTTCATAATATACCCCTACTGTGAATAGGATTGGAATTAAGATTTCTTGTAAAAACGTAAGTTATTGAGTGAATATAGAAATAATAAATCGAAAGTAAACCAACCGCGGATTGTCTGTTGTTGGATTTTGACGATAGAATCCAAATGTTAAGGGCTTTAAGGTCTAAATGTCTAAATGATGTCTTAGTATCAAGTCAAATGTAAATGACCCACTCCCCATATCTGATAATTCTAATTATTTCAAACTGAATCATTGGATAATGCAATTCTAGAGCTCTGATTGGCTTAGCCATCATGGTACATGAGCCATCATACCATGCGCTCCAAATATGGTAACTGTACGCGACTGCCTAAAATTAAAAACAAGCTAAAAATCGGTTGTTTTTACAAATAAATTCGGAAAAAAATTCTCGATATTTTGCGGTCTTTTTAAATAAAACAATTATTCTACTCGCGCTTGTTGGATATGAGATGATTTAGCGCCAGCTTCCCAGGCTAAGTTTTCAGTTACTTAGTGAGACATTTCACATCTACAAATATGAGGCGGGGGAGTACTGACAGACGGACGATTTTGTTACAACCACAATTTCTTGTATCCAAAAATAACCAAATTTTCTTACCCATGGTGCTCTGCTGTGCGCGCGAGCTCCGCTATTATTTGGATTGCCTATGGATCGCGTCAAAGCCGCGCGAGTCATGCTTACAGAGAACTAGCCCTGGTTGTTCAAACGCTGGATAGCGCCACTGGATAAATCTCTTTCCACTGGATAGCTATTAAGGAAACCAAATTGCGTTATCCGCTGGATAGCACTATCCAACGTTTGAACAACTAGGGCCTGGCTTCTTTTCCTGCTAAACAATAGGTACTATCTAGTAAGTAGAATTGGTGATCCTAAGCATGCGCACTTTCTAGGGACCCTATTTAAGGAAATGAAGGCGAAAAAAAAAAAACAAATAAAAATTTTCTATGAAATATTTTATTGATTGCTCATTAAAGCTCTTCGGAGCTTCTTGTTTAATCTGATATAAATGATAGCTTCTCTTGGCGTCATTTTCGAAGGTTGTACGTAATGAAATATGGTACAAAAACTAGAACGTGAGAGTATGATTACGAGTACTGCAGATTAACCGTCTTTTTCTGCTTTTTCACTCCGCAGTGATTTTTTTTCTTTAAATGGCTATGTCACGAGGATTTTGTTGTTTAGGTTAATTCTGTGCTACAGTCATTACTCAGTGCTTATTAACCCATACACAGAATGCCCTTGTAGAGTTGTGAAAAAATGTTTTGACTATTTTGGCACGCATAGTTCAACCTTTTAAAGTTTCAATTCATGTCCATCCTTGCCATCCGTAGAAACAGACGACATGAAGCAGTTTCAATGCCTAAACTTAGTCTTAAATAACACAACCTGACCATTAGTTTTTTCATTCAGTTGATGCGAAAAAAAATTAGCGTTTTAAAAAAATATCATCTAGCGTGGAGTAGCCCCCATTAACGTCACCGAGTGGTGAAAAATCAAAAAAGACGCTTCTTCATAACGACGGTTTAACGATCTCGTTACGTAGGATTGTATAAATTTCGTATAAATTATTTCTTTTAAAGTACTATGAAAAAAACTCATGGTTACATGATTAGTCTTGGTATCAGGTGTGTAGAAAGGTCACTTCGTCCTCAAATATAGTAAATATAGGAAGTTTAAGCGAGGACGTTTTGAGTGGCGCACTCAAACCTGAAGTGTGAAAATTTGGCAGTGGTTCTGCCCAAGTTTTGGTGCAAATTGTCTCTAAGAGTAAAGACACTTAGCATTACAAATTTGGTAGCATCTAGGTATAGGCCATTTGCACTAAGAGGTCATGTGACATCATTTTTATGAAAATGAAAGTTATATGATTTTGCCTTCAAAAAATCATTAGTGGTTCACATGTTAAACAAAATAATAGTGATTTAGTTTTTCAAACCCGCACCATTTTCTTAAAAAGAGTAAGTTTGTAGCTGGTCACGTGACCAAAATGTGATTTTTAAAACTACAAATTACCTCATTCTGAGCAGAAATTTTGCACTTAAACTTCAAGGAAATTGTTGAAAAGATGATGTGGTAACGTTTTCAGCACATCTGAGCGTAACTATCAAACGTTTAACAAGATACAAGCAAAAAGTAGTTTTGGCCGCCATGTTGGAGGGCAAGAGTATGCCCTCCAACATGGCGGCCAATACAAATCCTACTACGTTGCTGAAAAATCAAAGTGCCATAAAATATCTCCCTTAAACGCGTTTCCTCTCAAATTTCGGGTGTAAGATAATTTTAATACACTCCGTCAAGTTTTGGTATCAGCAAGATTCCAACTCATTGTTTAAAGGAAGCATTGGTCACATGACCTCTTAGTGCATGTGGCCTATTGGCATACGTCATTCAAAAACGCGGCCTGTGCTTCAAGGTCCCTAATCTGACCTATTTTAAGCCTACTCTTTTAAAGTACTTCACACCCCCTCTGCATTCGTCCTTTAAATAAATGTTTTAATTATTCAAGCAGAGGGTTAAATTTATTTCATTACACTCTTTAATTCAGTTTTGTAAAGAAAACTTTCGTGAAAGTCTATTGGAAATCTCTTTTGACCTAACTACACCTTTCAGTGTCCTCCTTTACGAGAAACCTCCAGCTTCAATCCGTTAAGTTTATAATAACTTTCTTATAGGAAATATTTGCGACACCAATTTTGTACAAAAACGTAATTGTTTTATATATTTGACAAGATGAAAGATTATGCAAACAATTAACGCAAAAATTCCAAAACATTTTGTCGCAAAATATTGCACTCTCGGTAAATTTCTTACAATGAATATAGTATCACTCTTTTTTAGTCTTCGTTCGATTGTTATAAGAGAATGCATGATATCTAGTACGCCCTTTATAACAAATTCTAGTCTAGCAAACCCCCACCCTTCTGATAATAATTATAGGAGGAGCTAGGGATGATCAGTTACGTTTATCTCTCCTTTTTGAGAGCTACGGACTAGGTAGATTTGACAAGAACGGATCTAAGCAGAAGTACATAATTCGGGAGACGTTTTGGGCTCGACGAGCCTAAAATGGCACTGATAAAGGTTGCGTTCAATTTATCTTTTTGTTTGTTCGATTTGCTTATTTGCCTTTTTCTTCGAATTGTATTCAGTTTGGAATAAATAAAATTAACCCTAGAGATCTTTGTTAAAGTAAAACTACATTGTACTAAAGAGCAACCCCGGTTGACATGGAATAACCAGAGGTATTTGTCCTTTTAAAATTAGCCATTGGAGTCGAGAGTTTGTGGGAGTCTTCTGCCTCGCGATCAATTCAAACAAATATACTGGATACTTCGAAACGAGAACGCATGGTACAGAAGTTTCGTAGAAAAATCCAAAAACATCAACTTTGAATTTTTGAAATGCGATCCACAGGACTGAAAATTCTGGAAATTTCAAAACGAGAACGAATGGTACCTTAAATTTCCGGGGAAAAGTTACGTAAAATCTGGTAACTTAAACCGTTGATTTTTTTTTTTTTTTTTCAATGAAAATAGATGGGAACACAATGAAATGGAACGGAAATTGCAGGAAAGAATGTGACTTTCCTCTTTTCTCGAAACTTCAGAATAACGGGATTATTTTTTTAAAATAGATCGCGCCCTCTGGGTATTCCACTACCAAAATACCTTCAGTAGATCACTGATGTGGCTTAATCACTGATGTGGCTTAGAGCTACACCTTGACGGCAAAATGAATGTAACCCAATAATGGCGAGTAAGCCGTACAGGAACACCTGTGTCTACCCTGATGGCAACAAAACAAAACAATACTTGACAAAAGAGTACTGCTACGTCATGATGGGCATTTTCACGTGGAGCCAAAGCGTAGCGACTTCACATTTCATTCTGCTGCTCCAACATTTTGATTCTCTTCTGTCCCTTCTCGTGGTGTTTCCGTGACATTTCTAGCTGTGATTGTAGTGGATGCGCTGGAAGTAACAGAGTACCGGATTGACTTTGTATTCTCTCCATGTGACGCTTCCTCTACAAGTTTCTTACTATCATTACACTCATTTCCGTTGATCTCACATGGGATCAGCGATGTTTTAGTATGGTCTAGATGCGAGTTGTGATTGGATAGTGCTCCTTTGTCTACACTGCATACACTTTCCTTTTCTGTGCCAGTTACTGCTAATATTTTTACGTCACTACACTTGTCAGTCGCTTGTTTCTGTGGTGACCCCACCCCCGAGTTAATTGCGTTGGTGGAACTTGGTTTTCGCTGCTGTTTTTCGTGTTCCCTGCATGGAAGGTGCTTTGTAAGGCATATTCTCTGATTGAAAGTTTTGCTGCAAGTGTCACATTTGTAAGGCTTTTCATCTGAATGAATGTAACTGTGCTCTTGTAAATGATGCTTTCGTTTAAATGCTTTGCCACATACCTACAACAAACCGTCCCATATTAGAATAGTCATGTGTAACAAAAAATATCATAACAGACCAAGTTCCTCCTGCGTCCTTCTGTACAAGCGGGGAAATGCCTCCTAAGCTAACCTAACCACGATTTGCCCGCTATTGAAAATAAGGATAAGATCGAGTACAAATACGAGAAGAAGGAATTTAAAGCTAGTTAGGTTCCCTGGGGTCGGTTTCTCGAAAGTCCCGGTAACTTTTCGGCCCCGAAATCAAATATTCAAATCGAAATATAAAGAATAAGAGCGCAGGTCCTGGCTAGAAAACTACTCCATTTTGTTTCATTAACTGATAGTTATATCATGTTAGATGCTAAACTATTGAAACCTCTATCTTGCATGTAAACAACAACAGCTTTCCGGGCCCGTTAAATTATCGGGACTTTCATAACAGCTAGTATTTATCCTCTTGGATCTATTACCTGAATTTCCATACAATCTTTTATACTAATGGCCATTTTGGGGATTATGCAATATGATACCACACGAATTAATGAAACTCTTGTACTGAACATGGGCTGCCTGCGGTTGACCAGGCCGATTGGTGCTAACCCGCCGCGGTTTAATTTAAATCCGGTTTCTTTTCCTTTTGCCCAAAACCATCAAAGTTCCCAATCCCCGGAGGACTACATGAGTATCAAATTTCCTCGCCCATGGTAAGGTTAAGGTGTTAAATGCCGGAGTATGCCCGGGGAGATGTTAAAGCTTCGATTTGAAGCTTTGTTTTACTTTGTATTTAAGGGCAATTTCCAATTACAAGCCCCCGGGGGGGCTTATATTTGAAGGGGCGATTTAACGGAGGGTTTTGGGGGGGGCTTATATTTGGAGGGGATTATACAGGGAGGGGCTTATTTTCGGAATTTTACGGTAGCTTAAATGAAGAAATTACATCTCTTCGCCCGCCACCTGCGACACCTCGGGAAGAGTTACAGTGTGAAAAGTCACTGTGAAAAGTCACGCGGAGCGTTGGAGTCGAAACGAAAACATAACGGTCTGGCAAAGTTGGTCAACCTCACAAAGCACTGGGGTTGAATGGCGACTAGCTGGAAAACATCTGCAGAGACCGACTCTGAAAGAAGACTTCAGGAAAGTGAAGAAAGCGACAAAATATCATTATTTTTGAAGAGTTTGGCGCTGAAAGGCTTTGGATTGCAAGACGTACTGCAACTTTTTCCCATGGTCGGAAGTGGAGGTCGAAACTTCTCTGGAAAGGTGTTAGTATTAAGGGCTCGAAGACTTCTCCATACAGTTTTATACCGTAAAATTCCTAAAATATGCCCCGGGGCTTATATTTTTCAAAGGCCCTTTTTGAGGGGCTTATCTACGGAGGGAGATTTGCGTTGCAAAATCGATTTGGGCTAGCCTTATAGTTCGAGGGAAATTTACCGTTTTTGCTTTGTTTTACTTTGTATTTAAGGGCAATTTCCAATCACAAGCCCCCGGGGGGCTTATATTTGAAGGGGCGATTCAACGGAGGGTTTTTTGCGTTACGAGTTTGGGGGGGGGGGCTCATATTTGGAGGAGATTATACAGGGAGGGGCTTATTTTCGGAATTTTACGGTAGCTTAAATGAAGAAATGACAGAAAAGGAAACTGGGCGAGAGAGAAAATGATTTCCCTTAGTTAACAGAGGCTTACGTCAACATATCAAAACAACAAGAGTCATACACGTACAAAACGTATGGAGGTTTCATCACTTTCTAGTTCGAGCTGGTTTTCAAGTCCCACAGCGAATTCTAAACACACCCGGTAGTAGATCTAAAGAGCAAGAAATACACTATGCGCGCGTCATTTTTAACTCTCTAAATTCTGTGGCTGCTTTAGATTGGTCGAACTTGCGGACCAAACGCGAAAGAGGCTGAACGTTTATAGCCATGGTCTATGCGTTACCTGGCATGAATACGGTCTGTCACCAGTGTTAGCACCTTTTTTATTAGAATCTTGGTTGACCTGTGACTGGTTGGTCTTCTGTGGTGTATTTTGTGAATGCTGTCTTGTAACGTGCTGTTTGAGACCACTGCTTTTCCTGAAGGATGAATCACACTGTGAACACCTATGAGGCTTCTCATCTGAAACAATCAAAACAGATGTTACAGTTTAATCCTATTGTAACCTAAGACGTTCGGGTTATCCTGGGCTATCTAGCCCGTTCCAGGCTCCGAGATAGTCGGGCACGCTGAATTGAGAAAGCGCGAACACGAAAATAAAACGGGAGGAAACTGGGGAGAGAAGGGGCGGCGGCTCCCTTCCTTTTTCCTTTTTTCCCGCCCCGCCAACTTTTCGCGCGCCTTTTGCTTTCGCGTCTCCCCCACTATCTGAGAGCCTGGAACAGGCTATGGGCTATCCTAACGACAAGACAATAATCAGTGAAGACAGGAGTTCAATCTTTGACCTCGTAAAAATCACGCGATTATTAATTGCAAATTCTGTCATGTATGACAATGATTTCGTCCAAAGATTATGTAGTAAGCAGAGAAAATTGCTTTTATTTTTAGGTGCTAGAATACCCATCACATTCCCTGGGACACTTGTCACGTAATCGCACCTGCTATGACCTGCCATATTGATTTACGTATTACCCATTTGCAAAAGAAATGGATAGTAATAGTAGTAGATAAGTAGTCAGTTTAGAAGGTGTGACACCAAAGAAATTCTCAGCTTTTCTCTAGTTTATATAATTCAATTTCTTCAGAATAGTTAGTTTTCCAGTCAGATGAGTTATTTGTCTTTTTCTTGTTGTTGTTTTTGTAGAGTGTACACCAAACTGCAGATCTCGAATGTGTTAGCAAATCACTAAACCTACCTCGACTTTTCTCCGTGTTTTGCGGTGTTTCTAAGGGGTCCTTTTTAACGTTTAGTTTGTCACCTACAACAAAAGTATGAAGTTAAGTGAAACTCCAGTCAAGGTACCTACGACAGGCCCTTAGGACAGGAAAGGGATTCAGAAGAGAAAAAGGCATCCCAGAAAAAACGATGGTATGCAGAGGGAAGGATAAACTCAGAAAGTAGGAGGGACAACAACAAAAAATATTGATGCAATTTTATCTACTGCAATCTTTCTTTGTATACTATTCTATAATATAAACCTGGTTCACAGGGTTCCCTCCTCCTTGCAACATGGTTGATTATTATAACGGCTACTATCATAATAATCTGTGAGCGGGCAAGATGAAGTGAATCCTTTGTTCTGATTGGCTAATTAAGCAGGAAGGATGAACTCATCTTGCCCGCTCGGGATTTCCCACCTTGTTCCCAAGAGAAAAGATTTTCAACCAACTAACGACCACAACTTCTACAAAATTTAAACTGAAAGCATTTTGCATAAGGAACCACTAAGGAAGGAATGGATTCTGGGAATAAAGTTTAACCTTCAATCTGGAGTCAGTCCTTCCCTAGCCTGACATCAATCCCTTGGAGGTGTCATTTGTTCTCAAAGATATTTTCTTTAATTTTTTTTCTTCAGCTATCTGACCTCAGACAGGCTTATTTTAACACAAATTTCCACAGTTGACTAGTTCTCGCAGGATCTTGGCAGTGTCTTGGGTGGACCACTTAACAGTAGTTGAAACCCTCTGATGGTTTGCCCCTTCCCCTAAATCAAAAGATCCTGGAGCACTATAAAGCAATGTTCAGCTGGGTTTAAACTCACCCAAATGATGTACAGCCTTCATATGATTGATCAACTGTTCTTTTTCTACAAACATCACAGCACATAGACAACACTGCCTCAGACCAACTAAATTACCAACTAGAATCACAGGTGCCTCATCAACGTACTCTTCAACACTTTGAACAGTTTTCTTCTTTCTTCGTTTTCTTTTTGGATTGACTGACTTAGCATTGTCATTGGCTGAACTGTCCTTACGTGATTGTACAGGGATTTTTTTCCCCGAAAGTCTTATTTGATCAGGGTCAACCCAGTCTTCTTCATAGGCCACCTTCTTTGACTTTAAACTTCTTATCCGGGCACTGATTCTTTCACGTGGAAGCTCTAATGGTTCTTTACTAGCGTCCTCTGTTTGTTTGTTCGATTCTCTACTATTGCAGTTTCGCTCCACCTCACTGTTACTTTTGCTAGTAGAAGAATTGAGTCGTGAAGCATTTACTGCGAGTACATCAGTCTCACTTGTCATCTGTCTTTTTCTACAAGAGAATAACCGATAATGATATCAACACTAATAAAATATACACAGAGAATAACATATAGATTTAGCCAAGGCTAAAGGTGAAGCTCCCATTAAAAATTTATGATTTATTTTACATCAAACAATAAACTTGTCACCATTGCAAAGAAATCAACTTGGAATTGCGCCTGCAATCATGAGAAAACTGGTTACTTGTCAACGGAGAAATTAAAAAAAATTATTTAGCCTCGATAAGTCAACACCTAAGCCTGCGATATGAACATGTTATACTGGTCAGCAATAATACAGTCAAACCCCTTAAATATGGACTGTCACTAAAGGGGACATAGATAGTGTCCATATTAACAGGATGTCTGTATTAAGTGGGCCGTGTTTTTACAGTCAAAAATACACCTTTTATTTGATCAAAATACTACAGAAATAAAACAGGACACTAGCATCGTCAAACTAAACATCTCAAACTTCACTAAGCCGTTATTCCGTGGACTGTTCCATGAGAGAAAATAAAGGGAGATGTAAAGAATCAACCATAAGAGGACACCAAAAAAATCTGAGCCCCAGATGGAATTCAAACCCCCAACCCTCCGTGTTCTAGATAGGATGCTCTAACCTGCCAAGCAACGGTCATTTTTTTGTGGGTTAGACTTGTGAACCGCATCACGCAGTCACGAAGTTGATTACAAGCAACATATCTAGGCTTAACTGCATCACGCAGTCACATTAATAGCAAGAAATGTCTCGCCTGTGAAGGAGGCTTTATCATAGGCACGACAGGCACTCCTTGCCGTTAACTCTGTTAAATTGCATTTAACTGCATTATAATACTGAGAGGATATTACATGGATGTGCAGAGATGAGAAATTTCACATCTCCAGCTGGCTATGTAATGTTCTATCTAATACATGTATATGAACATAACCTTTCACTTAAACACTTCTTTTTTTGCTGTAAAAGGTGCATTTTATCATGTAGCCATAGCAACGGTAATACTTTCATGTGTGCAGATAACACGTAACACGTCGTTTCACGTGCAAAGATATCATGTTTTTGCGAAAAAGCTCATTACCTGGTATTTCATTACCTATTATATAAGAAAAAGCATATTCATTTAAGAACTTTCTGTAAACCATGTACAGGTAAAATGCCATCACAATGCTTGTCTATAAACCCCTCACTTCTCATCATCGTAAAAAAAACACATGAGGGCCCACATTAAGTGCAGTAAAAGCAATTAATTTCCATCATTAGCAAAAAGTCTTGAAATACTTACAAAAAGTGTTCCTTTTTAAAATATCTTCACCATTAGGAACCACCTAATAGACCTCTTTCATAATGGTGGCCTATTAATATATTCTTTTATTTGTTTGACAATAATATTATTAGCCTTTCTGACCTCATTAGCAAGTGCAAAATACAAAAGAATTCTTACTTTCCAATGAGGTCAGAAAGGCTAATTATCATACATATAACAGAATATATTAACCCTTTAAGCCCCAATATCCATATACAAATTCTCCAAACTGATCTGTAGATATTTCCTTAAAGAATGAGTTGCGAGAATTTGACAAAAGATCAAAGCATTTTCTCTTAGGTGATCATTTTATTAATTCTCATAACCTAGTGTTTTGACAATGTACGGATGTCATTGGGGGAAAATTGACGTTGGTCACTATTGGGACTTAAAGGGTTAATAGGCCACCATTATGAAAGAGGTCTATGATAATGCTGGCCAAAATTTGTTTGGATCATGGTAAACACAACATTGTAATGGTAGAGGGTATAACACTGTGTAACGCATTAAGCTGTGTTCCATGTTACGAAAAAGTGGGCGTGTCTCAATAATTTTGTTGATCATGATGGCTGCAGTTATATGGGCTTTTACACGTGCAGGGTACTCATTAGGCATCAGAGATCGGGGAATTCTTCATTTACTATGCAAAATTCCAGCTACCATTCAGTAGGCCTATCACTATTTTTAATTCAGATGAGGAGCCTCCTTCAAAATATTTTCCTGTAACGTTACACATTTTTCTCCTGCTACCATTATTCTTAATGAAAACCCTGACATAGCAAGTAATTTAAGTAAAGTTCTCGCTAAAAACCACTGACACAGGCAAGAACTTGTCAATAAAATGTCTTATTATTAAACAATAAAATCGTATTTTCTCCTTGGCAACAATAAGGCTGTCAAAAAACGTTTGTAGAGTCTCGAAGTTTTGGTCATATTTAATATTAAATTTACATCCAAGCTGGTATGAATTTAAACCTACATGTACATGGCAATAAAGAATACTTTATGGGAACTGTTTGTGTTAGTTACCTCTTACTCCCACGCTTCTTTTGTAGAGTTGTCTCTTTGTCATCCTAAAATCAAGCCAAAATAAAGAAACATTATTGTAAATAATAAAAAATTATGATTATATATAGTCTTGACTAGGTGATTATATTTTGGTAAATTTCAGAAACCATTTAAGTACTAATGGAAATAAGCTAAGTATATGTTACATTCAATCATTTATTTTTATTTCTTTGTATTGCTGTACATTTGTCTTTACAGTAATAAAAAAATTCCAAGCCTTCTACTATGATTGATTTTTAGCTATTTTTTTATTCAGTCTAAGGAAAAAAAAATTAACTCAAACAAAAACAACATTACAGCAAAAAAAAAAAAGACAAAAAAGATTTTGCTGCTTATCACAACAAAAACAAGCAGAAATAAAGAAAAAGGCAAATCTAAACACTTACAGAGCAAATACATTGCTACATGTAAAGTACAAAGCAGAGCTATTTAAACACTTATAGGGCAATAATAACCCTTGTCTCAGCCGAGAACAATGCATGGCAGCATTGATTTAGACCCCAGAGTTCACAGGACCCAAACTGAATGTATGAATTTTTACAATACATTTTTAATGCATTTTTACTTGTCTCCTTTTGAATTTAGTTTAGCTGCAATAAAGATCGGCATCTCAATCTGCCTATAGCAATTTGGGTCTGCCTAAATTCAAATTTGAGTCGGCCCATACATACTATAGCACTTGAACAGGGCCTAAGTGGTTACAATGCATTTCTCTGTTTCACTCATTTTGGTGTACTCATGGCAATCTGTTGTAATATTTACTCACAATTTCTGTTTCCAGGTCTTGAGGATTCTTTATGTCACAATGTTCAGATAGCTTCTGGATTATACTTTTAAGTTTCAGCCTGAAATTCAGTTGGAAAAAAATATAATAGATTTCAATACAGTCCAATCTTTGCATAAGAACATAATGTTCAACCGGACGATCATGTTCAACCTACTTATGAAATGCCAGGTTTGAACCTGGCAGGAGTCATTTTATAAGTAGGTTGAGCATGATCGTCCAGGTGAAGTAGTCATGAATAGGACTGCTGTTGACAGACGGCCCTGCCAGGGTAAATTCTGACAAGCGATGTGACCCGAAAAGTAGCGACAGAGGGTAAAATGAAAATTATGGCGACAAGAGTCCCTCCATTGGCCAAATTGCGACAGTGACAGCAAAGCCGAGAATAAGCGACAAAAAAGGTGGTTTGGCTAATTTAACACCAGTCTGAATGCCAAGAAGAAGTAATTTTCATCACTTTTCCTTGTGCTTCAAAGAACGTCTCTTGTCCCGGGGGGTACTTCCTCATAAGAGGCTAATGGAGAAGTGCCACTGGATGGGGTCGCATTTTCATGACTGGACTGACTACAATGGGGTGGCATTTTCAACAGAGTTACTAGAATGGGGTCTCACATTTTCTGATTTTTGGGGTAAGAGAGTTCTTCATATTTATGGTTAGCAAACATAAAAGAATGTTTGCAATATAAGGTAGATACATCGCGAAAATTACACATTTGCCCAACAGTGACTAAGATGGTGTCTATAATTGGCCACAGAATAGACTATAAAGGGGTAGGGGATCTGAGAGGCCAGCGACACATACCCAGCAAAAATTAATCCAAGTACCCCCCCCCCCCCAGGGTCTCTTGTCAGTGAGCTTTAGCATACCCTCCTGAGCGCACGTCGTGTTACACTTCATTTACAAAACCCCGCACAATTCCTGGGAGACCTGAGAATGAGGTTGTCCATCACATAGCTTAATTTTATGCTACAACTCCATGAACAGGATGTTGGAACATCGCAAGGCTTTCAGTCCCAAGCCAGCGTTATGATCATTGTACTCACTATACACTTGGTCGAAGAGAGACAATGTGATCCGAACTTAAGTTTCTTGTTTAAGCAACATGACAGCCACGACGGTGAAGAAACCAGGGACCAGGTAACCTAACCACTGACCTTCGGAAACCGCTCTCACAGAGTAGACCAACGTTAACCATGCTTTCACGATTTATTTATCAGGTCAGTTACTCTTAAAATGTTGAACATGGGTCACTTAATTGTGATTGGTGATGTAGATGTGTTCAATGTGCAATGGTTTCTTTACAACACATCACTATCCATCAATTTCCCACAGCGACATGAAGCATCTATAAACACTGACAAGAGACGTTTTAAAATACAGATGAGCAACATGGGATCCCCCCTTGGCAGGGCCTCTTGACAGTGACTGACGTTTTGACAGCCTGTGTGGTAGTCATCTTCAGAGTCAAAGAGAGTTGCAGGGCTGTCAACTCCAGATTTTAAACTGTTTCTCCCTGTCTCCAGATTAGAGTCTGACATCTCACAGATAATCTCCAAAGTTTGCCATTTCTTGCAGATTCGACTCTCTGACAATAAAATTTCAAATATTTTGCATTGTTTGAGCTATTTTCCTGTTAACATTGAACGTTTCCTCACAAACTCCGGTATGCCATTGTAATATAAGCAATAATGTGATTGGTGGGAGGTAAACCAATTAGGTCAAATGTTACAATTAACATTTTTTTCCAAAATATGATGTCATGTGCCCTGCATTATGACATCATCTATCACCCACTCCCCATTAATTCTCAATATTTGAAGACATGTGGGGTTGACAGGCCTGGAGTTGTATCATGTCAGTTGATGGTATCATTATTGTTTAATCAATTCAGCTATTGTATGATATGAAGAATGCAGGTTGACGTTAGTAACCAATCGATCATCTCTGCCTACACACGAGAATTGTGCAAATCTAAACTTTGGGCCCCTGGCTAAAGCAAGACAGTTTCTAAAATTACTTCTTTTGTGTCCAGTTCAACTTCTCTTTCACAACACTTATTGAGTCTAGACTTGTACACAGTGGACCTCCTTTATCAGTATTGTGTGGTAAAATTTTGTCAGTAACTCTATGGCAAGCAGTGTTATGAGCACCCCAAGCAAGCAACAAAACAGTGCAAAACAAAACTGTGTGACTTTGAAAGGACTTTGGTAAAGTCTAAATTGTGTCTGGCTGCTAATAATAAAACTTAATTCAGTTAAACTCTTTTGCTCTAATGCTTTGTAGAGTTTTTGACCGGGTTATTCAAAAAATAACCCTGATAGCTTGCTAAATGCGGACACAGCCAATGACTCAACATTAAAAATACAGAGGGTGTGTTTACAGTCTACACAATAGAAGGATGCTTCAGCCATAGAAGCATTTTTTACAATGAGCACATTAAGTATTATTAATAAATGATCCTAAGGAAGACAGTGCATTTTGTTTGCTCAAGATGCATTAAATGTTTCCTCAGTTGGTGATCACTTATACTGGTTCAACATTTGTCCAGCCAAGAATGGGTAATATCCAAACAGAATCAGAAGCAAATTGAAAAAATATGAAATTGAGTTATATTTTGAACTAGTCATGTCAGTCACCAGATAACATGACTGGCTGTGCCCTATGCCTGTTACAGTCAACTCTCTCCAAGACGGACACCTTTGGGACCGGCACTAAGTGTCCATCTTAGAGAGATGTCCGTCTTATAAAGAGTCAAATAAAGGGAATAAACTAAGGCAGGGACCAACTCTAGGTGTCCGTTTTACAGAGGTGTCCGTCTTGTAGAGGTTTCCGTTAACAGAGAGTCGACTGTATTTGGTTAAACTTTTTAGAACATCTTTTCAGTTCACTTCAGTTATTTTGCCAAAGTAAAATGAGAATAAACACAAAAATGATAAACTGGCGAGAGAAACCAAAAGGCTTATAAGGCCTGGGTTTTCTAGTCAGATCATTTTTCAATTAATTTTCTTACATATTTTTGTATGTTACTTTAACAAAATACCATAAAAGACCTGAACTAATGAGACGTATTGAGAAGATTGCTCTGGCCATTGATCTGCATGACTACAACAGCTAAATTAGCAAAACATGCATAATTAGTGATTGACACCATGTGTGTGAAGTCATTTTTCAGAAAGGAACAAGATTTCTCAAAATCTTGATACATTTTATATACAAACAAAAAAGCTGACAAAGAAGAGTTGGAAAATATTCAAGAACTTTAACTAATGCCTAGTTTTTTGAGGTGCATTGTTTTCAACTATTTTGTTGTATTTAATATTAAATCACTTGAAAGTATGGTTTCATCTGCAATAATACAATCATATATTGCATCGTCTTTTAAATGCATGAATATAAACCATTGAACCACTAGTGTCACCATAAGCACTTTCTGATTAATGTCTTAAAATTATTGCCATGTCGTATCACTCTTATTTAATGTAGCTGAAACTTAGTACTCCTATCTTTACAACGTCTTATAATGAGAGAGGAGATTTTTCCGTAAGCACCTTTCAACGTGCTTTTGTTCTGGAATTCTATTGGCAGTGTGTTACTCGCTGCAAGAAACCCAGTTTTCTGCACGTTTATTTCCATGATTTATAAGCCACGCAAAACATATATCATTCGTTTAACGAAAGAAAATTTTACACCGTTTATAGAAAACTGATTGTCGTGACCGAAGCTTGACAAAATACCTTAGCTCCACGAAACGGTGCTAGCTGTAACATGGAAAAGCATGCGAATATACAGTCGGAAGCAATTATCGGAGAATTCAACATACCCTCGGTGATCAGCAGCGCTCTGAGCAGTATCTGCCATCGTCTTGAAAACAAAATGCTTTTAGAACTGAGGAATTTTTAGTCAAGTGACAGAACACAAAACACAGATGGGCAGTTCATCACACGGCAAAATGAGATAAAATTCCCAGGGTTCACGCGGAGCTCACAACTCTTTCCCTCGCTTCTTTCGAGGCCGCTCGGCTTGGAGCGTCGTGGGAGGGTGGATTGCAGGGGTTTACTCAGTCTCCCCGTTCAGACTTCCGACACATGGAGAACTCTGAAAGTCAAAATTTGACTGAGGCACGACAGCGAGCAAGCTTTCCATTTGAGAGTCACGATAGGCAAAGCGTCACGCGCGAGTGACAAGCGAGCGTGGGTCGGGGGCGTGAAGTGGGCTGGGCAACCCTTTCGATGCGCGATTCGCTCGCGCGTGACTAGTACATGTGACACGGCGAAGGAAGAGGGGAGGCGAGAGGAAGAAAAGCACTTACGCCCCACAATACTTTCATACTTGGCACACCAGAACGTGTTCCCTTCGTTATCTACAACTAAGACCCAGCTCTTCTTCACTCCCAAAAAACGGAAGATCCGAAATAGAATCATTTTCCATGACAACTCGCGTCCTCTAGCTCCTCGTGACACGGAAAAATCGGAGAAAAAAACAAACTGATCCTCGCGGGAGGAGAAGACGGAAAGGGCAACATAAATAGCGTATGAATATATGAAATATATATCTGTCTGATTTCGTTGAAACGTCGCCACTAAGTTTTCGCTTGGCGCCGGGCTACGTCCGGCTCCAGCGAGTGCGATGTCCCAAACAGTAGGGGCCGGGGTTGCCGTCTTGGTCGGTACAGCTGGATAGCCCAGGAACTGCCCTAAAAGTGGGTGGATGGATCAGGCCCTGGGAACAAAACTAGTGGGGTAGGGAGGGGGCTATTTGATAATGATAATTGCAGAGCTCAGTGTGAGGCACAGACAGTCACCCATTTTCCTGGGTGGGGAGCGTCAAAGTCTTGATACAAAGGACATACTTAGCATAGGACCTGTAGACACTCACTCAAGCCATGTTTACATAAATTCAGTCAGATGTGTTTCGGTCTGAAACACAAACGTTGGTCAGGAGCCAATACAGAAGAGACTATACACGTTAGGATCGTAAAATTATAAGAATTGATAACGGAAGCCGATGTTTTTTTCAATCAAACCATGAGCTCATACCTAGCACTATGTGGAAATTAAAAACTGTTTTACTTGCAAATTTCATATCTAAGGGACAAACTTCATACGTATACACACGCCGCTCCACTTTGAGACGGAACCAGACCTATGGTACAATGCAATTGTACCTCACTAGCTGACAGTACATGGCAGAAACTAAACGATTTCATTATGTAAGGGCTTTTAGGGCTTTTAATTTGCGATTTTAAATACTTTCTACGTTAACATTTTCCCTTTTTTATTTCGTCGTATTATTATAGTTAATATATCAGATTGCTCGCTATCCTTCATTTTAAATTTCAACCGCGAAGTTAGCTTATCTAGTCATTTGTAAGACCCTGAAGAAGAATGGCCGTGCTTTTGAATCAGTGACGAAAAAAAAAATATTCCCAGCTGTATAATTAGCCTTGATTCTTTCCGTTGTAGATCAGAGAAAACCGAAATACCCTCTTATGTTCGTAGTCTAAGTGTGATGCGCCACGATTATCCCGCCCTATCCGTCGGGTGGGGAGAATCGCGGACGCAACGAGTCATCCACGGCTGGAGACAGACCCTATTCGTAGTCTTGTTCTACCCCCTTCCCCCTCATTTCTCTCTCTCGCGACTGAAAGAGGGGTGCGATTAGACTAATCCACCTGTCGCGTTATCTATCCTCTCCCTTCTTTCTCTATTTTCTAGCCTGCAAGCAAGCTATCCATTTGGCGGATAACGTGAGAGGTCACGCGCGATTGGTACGGGAGAGAAGAGAGGGGAGCAGGGGGAGCAAGGGATGCAGGGCACCCCCATTTCAATCGGTTAAAAAAAGCTCCTCCAAAGGTATTCATTCTGAGCCTCAAGGCGTAACATACAATCTGGAAAGTCACAAACTCAAGCATGTTAAGGCATGGCTCAATTTTGGGTTTCGACCCCCCGCGAATATAACGCTGTTTATCTTCTACGACCACGCATTTTAATTCTAAAAGTTGTAAAAAACTTTTGAGAAACTTTCTTTTGAGGCATTGAATTAATCAGGGTTGAATTGATCTAGTCACGTGAAACGTGACGTCATACTGATACTCACAAAGAAATTCAAAATGGGGTAGGAATGATTGATTACCACTAAGTTTAAACCACGTGTAAATGTTTGTTTTCTGTACGAATTTTTTCCGTGGCCGGAAAGGAGAGAATAAAAGATATTGACAGGTGAAAAGTGTCACGTGACCTATTTTACTTAATTACTGATTAAATAAAAACGTGCCGTCAACCATTCCGGCCAGATTCAAGCGACAAAAGATGATACAATGACAAAAATACTGTATTTAATATATACTGTGTGGCATCTCGCCACCCCATTTTTAGTTTTCTTTTCTTTCCTGGACTCGAACATAATTGGTCACGTGACACAGATATCTGATTTCTTACGTTACAGGAAATTTAAGGTTACCGATTTTTCCGAGGTTGTCAAATTTTGGAAGTTTCTGATAAATTTTCACAAAGTTATGATCATTATAAGATTTTATGCAAATTAGCATCAGGCCATGCCTAAACATGCTTGAGAAATGACCTAGATTATCCTCTCTTGAAATGACTACTTTGTTGCACAGCTTGTCACTCTTTAATTATTTCAGTTATACAAGTGACAGTTACAGATCCATAAATGACTGAGTTAACTTAATTTCATTTCAGTAATTAGTACTCGTCTCCTCCTTCTTCGTCTTCATCTCCAGCTTCCTGTGAATCTACACCCACTTCCTCGTAATCCTTCTCCAGGGCAGCCAAATCTTCACGAGCCTCGGAGAACTCTCCTTCCTCCATACCCTCACCTACATACCAGTGGACAAAAGCACGCTTGGCATACATCAGATCAAACTTGTGATCCAGACGGGCCCAGGCCTCAGCAATAGCTGTGGTGTTACTCAACATACAAACAGCACGCTGAACCTTGGCCAAGTCACCACCAGGAACAACTGTGGGAGGCTGGTAGTTGATGCCCACCTGAAAAATGAATCAGTTCCAAACATTTGTTGAAATTTGAAATTTTTGATTTAATGTTGATTTTCTTAACTTTTTGCAGCTAAAAGAAACTAGGAAGGCTAACAGCGAAGATAGCTAAACTAAGGAGACAACAAACCTTGAAGCCAGTTGGGCACCAGTCCACAAACTGAATGGTTCTCTTGGTCTTGATTGTCGCAATAGCTGCATTCACATCCTTGGGTACTACATCACCACGGAACAGCAGACAGCAAGCCATGTATTTGCCGTGACGTGGGTCACACTTTACCATCTGATTGGCTGGTTCAAAACACATGTTTGTAATCTCTGCAACTGTCAACTGTTCATGGTAGGCCTTCTCAGCAGATATAACTGGAGCATAAGTGGCCAATGGAAAGTGAATACGTGGGTAAGGAACCAAGTTGGTCTGTCAAAAAGACAAATAACTTTTCAAAAATACCAATATTAATATTAACTCCACTAAAGAGCTGATAAATTACGTCTTTCCAGGAATATCTGGGTTGAGATTCAGTCCATCCGTAATCAATCCTTTAAACTTATTATCATCCAAACAGAAACATTTAAACAAAGGGGGTAAATGAATAAAGGATACAGCGAGCCAAAACATGTACGTAACAAAGGCTCCAGCCCAATTGTTACTGATGATACTTCGTCGCTAGTAAACTACCATGGAATCTTGAAAGCTTTTCACGCATTTCCTACCGACTCATTTAGATTACAACGCGTGAATAAATGAAACGTGGTTCGGCAAGTACGTTGTTGATATCCTACCTGGAACTCAGTCAAGTCGACATTCAGTGCACCATCAAAGCGCAGTGAAGCAGTGATGGAAGACACTATCTGACCAATCAGACGGTTAAGGTTGGTGTAACTTGGTCTTTCTGTGTCCAAGTTACGGCGACAGATGTCATAAATGGCTTCATTATCCACCATAAAGGCACAGTCAGAGTGTTCCAAGGTGGTGTGAGTGGTCAGAATGGAGTTGTAAGGTTCAACCACTGCCGTTGAAACTTGTGGTGCAGGGTAGATAGAGAACTCCAATTTGGATTTCTTGCCATAGTCAACAGACAGACGTTCCATGAGCAGAGATGTGAAGCCAGAACCAGTACCTCCACCAAAAGAGTGGAAGATAAGGAATCCTTGCAGTCCTGTGCATTGGTCAGCCTAGGATATACATGCACAGAAAATCAAAATTGTCAAATTCGTTTAGTTTTCTTTTTCAGTTATATGCTTTCAACTATGCGCATTAAGTTTAAAACCACGGTTTATTTTGTCTGTTTTACATGTTCTTTATCAAATAGCTTGTAAAAGAAAGTGAGTTTCTTGAACATGTCATATTTCAATTTTGTCCTTGGTTTATAGATTTTGATTATCCTTGCACTGGATGTCGTGGATGGTAATGAATAACCAAAGATAAATGAACCACAAAAGCCACGCCAGGAAAATGTTAACGCCAGTTAGCCTTAAGTTAATGGAATTATTTTTTTCTAACTGATTAGCAACATGTTCCTACACGTACCTACATAGGCATAGTTATATCCGCAGTGAAACATTCAGTTCCGTCATTGGAATGACAGTTACTAAAGCCGGTAGGCTCGATTTCCGCCGTCTCCCGGGTCCGGTCTTGATCCTCATTTTCCCGAACAGCGGCTGGTAATGGAGCCTATAAAGCCTGCTGATGGTGTTTTTTACGTGCATTTTTATTTACTAGTAATAATCACTAGCCCGTCTCATCAGTTTGAAGGTGCGGAATAGTCTGAGTGTACATGGCTCTCGAGGAGTCAACGGGGAAACAAAGCAAAAGGCCTGGGAAGACTCGTGCCCAATCCCTCGGGTCCCTACTCTCCGACCTTGTTGATCCTTTGTTTTCCCAAGCGCAGATGGTCTGTATTATGCCCTACCGCCATTAACTAAAACGAACTTTAAGAATTACTGAAACAGCACATGAACGTCACTCTTACCAGTTTTCTCAGCTTGTCCAGAACCTGATCGATCATTTCCTTTCCAACAGTGTAGTGCCCACGAGCATAGTTGTTAGCGGCATCTTCTTTGCCGGTTATCAACTGTTCTGGGTGAAACAGCTGTCTGTAGGTGCCTGTGCGGACTTCATCTGCAGAAAGGAAAAAAATTCTGGTCTTAATTAAAGAGAAAAGAAACACTTCTGAGTGGGGAGCCTCTAGCGTTTGAGTGTTAGTTTTTGCGAGTTGGCTGATAGTGAACAGATAACCATTTCTTTCAATCGTGCGAGACATTATTTTTGAAAATGTGGCAATGGCTTCCTTCAGTTATATGCTGTATTGTGAGTTGTGCTATAAACTGAAAGCCAATTATCTTAAATGAAAGCATAAAACTATAGGTGCGAAAAGTAGCTTTCTGATCATAAAACCTTTTTACACTTCACTGCGTCATTAGATGCTTATTGGTGACAGCTGAATCAACATGTGTACGACACTGCGAGGATTAGCAATTGTACCTGGAGAATAACTTATTCATGGGTAGTTCCGAGACAACGCCACCCATTTGAAGGAAATACTCTTCTTTATACATGTAAGACTTCTTTTATAAAAAATTCTTACCAACAACAGTTGGTTCCAGATCGACGAACACTGCGCGTGGTACGTGTTTTCCTGCACCGGTTTCAGCGAAGAACGTGTTGAAAGAATCATCTCCACCGCCGATGGTTTTGTCGCTCGGCATCTGACCATCAGGCTGAATTCCATGCTCCAAGCAGTACAACTCCCAACAAGCATTTCCAATCTGAACTCCGGCTTGGCCAACGTGGACTGAAATACACTCGCGCTGCAAAAAAAGAAAAAAAACACTAACAATGAGTAACCTTTTTCCCGCGTTTGAGGAGAAGTCTTAGGCGAAAATCAGAGTGAAACCTAAGCAAACGGATTTCATAACAAAGTTAAAGTTGAATGATCAAAAAGAATAAAAGCTTTAGAAAACTTAAATAGGAATAAGTCTCGGTACCATTTTGCAATCTCGGTAGTTTCTATTTCTAGAAGGAAGTGAAGCTGGGAAATTGAGAATATCCAAGCTCCGAAATAGCAGTGACGGCTTTCGAAGAAAGGGTGTGGAATGAATAATTTCTTTCAAGCACAAAACATTATATTTATTATGTTCCTTGACAACGCAGGTGTTCCGAGCTAATGGTTTGACTTCATAATCGCCAAAAATTTGCATAGATTCAAAATGTTAGGATGGAAAGTCTGTATGAGATTAATTTTTATTTAGATTCAATCTGATTAAAATAAATTCATTGGCTTAGCGGGAAAAATAATGCAGATCGAAGCGTCAAATACACAATGTGTGGTAAATTCAATGATAATATTTTTTAGGTTAATAGACCAACACCCTATTTTTTTTTGGTTTTGCTTTGTTTTTTTTTTTTTTCTCCTTTTTCAAGGAAAATTTTTAAAGCCTAAACTTTTTTTGCCCTTCAATAAAAAATGCCTATAAAATTCAGAAAAAATATTAAAATTTATCTGTCAGCCGCATCACTTTTACTTGTATGTCCTGATGATAATGCCTAAATAGAAAGTACAACACAATTCTGGTGATAACCGGACAGTATTGTAAATGCAAGTAAAAAAATTACAAGACGAGTTTTTTAAATATTTCTGACAAGCATTGGAAAAAGACAACCGTGAAAAACACAAACCTCCCGATTCAAGGATATTTTATCATCTCAAGAAGAGGAAAGGAAACCGCACCACTGCGTCAAGAACGGCTTGCTCCTAAGCTAGAAACCTTATTACATTTATGACCATTTTTTTGCATTAATATTGCCTTCGCTTAGCCTGCGTGCAGCTTTCTCCTTAATAGGAGACGTCTGCACGCAGGTAAGCCTTCCCTGTGCCAACATAAAAGCTCCCCTTGTATAATTCGACAATCAAGTCATCAATTTTATTCTTTCTTAAACGTATGAAAGACTTCGCGTAGCAAAACAGGGACAAAAGAAAGGGGCAATTGATCAACGAACTAAAAGAAGCAACGAATCGAAATCTATACTTTATATTAGTGGTTTTCCTGTTCAGAATATCTAGTTGAGCAGTCTAAAATCGCCTTGAAATTTTGTCATAGTTACACTATCTGTTATTAATTTCTCAAATTCTGACGTTTTTTTTTATAAACTAATGCATAAAGAGAAATTAAAACTCGGTTTTTGGAGGGATTGACAAGCATCGTTTTTGAAACAAAAAAGGTGAGCCACTGGGATCTTGAGCGAAAAACGTATGAAACACATGGGGTACCAATGTTTTGGGAGACAGTTCCTTCCCATAATATTTATTGAACTTTATTTGATTACCAATATATTCAGTTGATGCCACACCTTGTCAGCAGCGCCTCTCTATCGCTTGCTCGATTTTGTTGTACTGCATGAACCGAGTAAGATCTTTGTTGAGCATGCACAGCATGTTGCTAGGATATAGTTTCGAACCCAGGCCTAATAGCTGCGTGCTTGGTACAGCAGGCTCGGTTATGATCATCGGTTTATCAATAAACGGATGCTCGCACTCAAAAAAAAAAACAGTGTGAAGAGAGAGAACGAGATTGACTAGTCCAGAATTTGGGCTGCGGCGACCTCAAAGGTTTGAGTCAGGTAGAGTCTCCAATTCACCAAAGACAAAATATCGGGCTCTTCTCGTAGGGTGTTGATGATGCCACTAAATTAACAAGAAAATGTGGTACGATACATTTTCCGGAGTATTACGTGTCGGGTAATAGCTTGCTTGCATTGTGTTGACGCAGGGCCAAAGGTATCGTTTGTTCCTTTCCCGGTGATATGTGTTTGTTCTCTCTTCCCTGAACAGGGTCTTGGCGAAAGACCCTTTCAAGTTTTCTTCCAGTGATATCCCATTGAAACAGGGTTAAAAACCGAAGGTTGTCTTCCTGTTTCAGGTCCTTTCTTGATATTAAGCAGTATCAAGGTATGGATCTCTCAACGGCACAGTCCTGAGCAAAAACCTGGCTCAAGAACAGAATCCTTTTCCATACATCTTGAGTGTAACTGCTATTTGATCCCAAATATAAAGCGCGTTGCATGTCGAGAAGGAGAAACCTCATGACCACTTGCGTACTTCTTAACCCGTACAGAAGGTCCATCCTCGTACATAGATATTCCCCTAGAAAATAAGAGGAGCGCGACCCGCTCTTCTTTTAGGGAGCTTATGCAACGACGACGGGGACGGCAACGAGAACGGCACAAAAGCACAAAACAACTGCAACTCTGCACGTGCATCACCCTTTTTTGTACATTTCTTTGCCGTTGTTTCACGACTACAATGTGAAACCATCTAGTTTCTCGTTTTATGGAGGGAAGTGAACACAAGACGACAATTTTCTTTTTCTTTTTCTGAACTTAGATACAGTCCTTTAGAATCAACTCCTGAAAAATTCTCCAACATTTGACAAATTGAATGAAATGATGGGAGGTTGAAAAAGCGTGAATTCGATTTTTAAGTGACGTTTTCGCTGCCGTTGCCGTGGTGGTTGCTTAAGCTCCTATAATCTAGGGGCGAGGTTTCTTAGGGCCCTCTACCGTGAGGTCCTGAGGTTTTTTTTTTGACCAGAAAGCAATCCAGATTACGTAAAATGATTTTAAGCGCGCTCTTAACATGCACGAGTCACTGCAATTAAAATTGTACTCTGGGTTGACAGTGAGCTAGAACTCACTGACTTTCAGGCTTAAGATCTTTGACCAACTCCGAAGCCCCGCACGCTCGGCCTTCAGGAAAAGTCCGCAACGGGACCTTTCAGGCACGGGCATCTGATCTCTAGCAAGTGAAAACTGAGCTAGTGTCTATGATAGGATGAGTCTGGATGCTTGTAGACTCCGTGCTTTTTATGGTTTCATCTCTCCATTGTGGGTTTCAAGTCGAGACAAATATGTAAACTTGAGTCAAGTAAACGAGAAAAGCGCTTTATTCAATGTAAGACGGTTATTCTAAGATAAACTTTTACACGTGCAGTATACAACTTTCCCTCCGAGCGGCTCTTTTGCATTATTCAGTTAATTAATATTCTTCGTCGCCTTCCTCTTCCCCTTCAACAGCAGAATCCAAGCCAACTTCCTCGTAATCCTTCTCCAGAGCAGCCAAATCTTCACGAGCCTCAGAGAACTCTCCTTCCTCCATACCCTCACCCACATACCAGTGGACAAAAGCACGCTTGGCATACATCAGATCAAACTTGTGATCCAGACGGGCCCAGGCCTCAGCAATAGCTGTGGTGTTACTCAACATACAAACAGCACGCTGAACCTTGGCCAAGTCACCACCAGGAACAACTGTGGGAGGCTGGTAGTTGATGCCAACCTGTAAAATGAATCAGTTCCAAACAATTGTTAAAATTAGAAATTTTGGATTTAATGCTGAGTTTCTTAACTTTTTGCAGCTAAAAGAAACTGGGAAGGCAAGCAGCGAAAATAGCTAAACCGAGGAGCCTACACACCTTGAAGCCAGTTGGGCACCAGTCCACAAACTGAATGGTTCTCTTGGTTTTGATTGTTGCTATAGCTGCATTCACATCCTTAGGTACTACATCACCACGGAACAGCAGACAGCAAGCCATATATTTGCCGTGACGTGGGTCACATTTTACCATCTGATTGGCTGGCTCAAAACAGGCATTTGTGATTTCAGCAACACTCAACTGTTCATGGTAGGCTTTTTCAGCAGAGATAACTGGAGCATAAGTGGCCAATGGAAAGTGGATACGTGGATATGGAACCAGGTTGGTCTAAAAAAATGTGTGAAATGAATTAGTATAGGTAATAGCATGATTTGTAGTGATATTTGGCATAAATACTACGAGTGATATTTCAAAATTTTTATACGTAATTGAAATATAACGAGTGGTATTTATGCCAAATATCATGTACAAATCCTGCTATTATTTGTTTATACTACTACCCGCCGAAGGTTTGTAATTTTCACATGTAGGTATTTCAAATTAAGCTGAAATACCACTGCTCTAAGCCAATCAAATTGCAGAAATTTCTCCTGTAGTAGTATAAAGGTCACAATATCAACATAAAGCGGTAAACCTTGGTAAAGGAATCCTCAATGCCAGACTTATCTAAGCAACTTCAAAACTTATTCCGACTTCATAAATCTAAAAAAGATGTTATTTTCAGTTTTTGCTCTTAATTACTTAAAAATTGAATCCGGCTGAATTCAATGCTGATAGTTCTTTAGAGAAGAAAAAATGAAAGAGTTCTAGCACTCAAAAGAAATTTTAGAATTTTAAAAGTTTCTATAATTTGAGATCTAGCAAATTTTTAGCAGCTTTCATACATTCCCTCTTACGTGGTCGGGTTAAATTTCGTTTCGCTTGGCCTTTCCCCGTTTTGATTTCCAAGTGAGACAAAAATAGGGTGCGAACTATTGTTACTGTTACTTGTAGAATGTGGCCTGTCAACAAAAGTGAATTTCCCAGAACTTAATTCTTCAACTTGTTCATATATTTATCATCTTCTTTTTTTAGCCTGAATTTCAGACATTACTTCGAGTTGCTTACTCCCTTAGTTTTCATTAGTGTTCAGTGATGCTCCTCGTATTTCTTCGGTACACGAAGACTGAGAGGACAAAAGCTTTACTATAAAATTCAACTAGCACTATCACATTATAGCCACGCCCATCCAAGGTTGAGTGATTTGTTAACATCCTACCTGAAACTCAGTCAAGTCAACGTTCAATGCACCATCAAAGCGCAGTGAAGCAGTAATGGAGGATACGATCTGACCAATCAGACGGTTCAGGTTGGTGTAAGTTGGTCTTTCTATGTCCAAGTTACGACGACAGATGTCATAAATAGCTTCATTATCCACCATAAAGGCACAGTCAGAATGTTCCAAGGTGGTGTGAGTGGTAAGAATGGAGTTGTAAGGTTCAACCACTGCCGTTGCAACTTGTGGTGCAGGGTAGATAGAGAACTCCAATTTGGATTTCTTGCCATAGTCGACAGACAGTCGCTCCATGAGAAGAGATGTAAAGCCAGATCCAGTACCTCCACCAAATGAGTGGAAAACAAGGAATCCTTGCAAGCCAGTGCATTGGTCTGCCTAGTAACGAATAGATATAGCTAATATGGCTGTCTTGAAAGAAAATTATAAAATAGAAAAAAATTAAAAACGCTATACTTACCAGCTTTCTAATCTTGTCGAGCACAAGATCAACAACTCCTTTTCCGACAGTGTAGTGCCCGCGAGCATAGTTGTTTGCAGCGTCTTCTTTGCCAGTTATTAACTGTTCTGGGTGAAACAGCTGTCTGTAGGTACCACAGCGGACTTCATCTGAAAAATCAGAGTACATGATGTGCTCAGTCAAGTCGCACTCGAATGGCACGTCTTTATGGTCGGTTTAAGAAGTCTGCTTAGTCACCGAGGAGGATTTCACTGAAGTCAGTCTAAAAACTTTTGCGTTCGCACGAAAAAGATTGTTAGACTGTCTCCGAACTTATCCAACTCTAAAAATCGTTTGCATCTTCACTGGTGGACGCGAGCAGGAGCCTAGCGGTTTGGAGCGCAGACGTTTGAACGCGTTCAAACGGACTCATTATGGCAATTCAGATTTGCTCGTGGCTGTTCAGTCGACTTTTTTAAAAGTCGACTGTCAGTTCTATATCTTATTAGTAGGCCCATACTGAGGAATGGATGACTGTCATATTCTATTAGAATCTGTCACACCTGGAGTAGGCTGAATAAAATACCTGCCTCGCGTTCCAGTTACCACAAGAATGTTTCTCCCGAATCAGTCATTTTTAAAACAATTGTAAGTCGGGGGGGTTGAGCGGAAGGAAAAAAAAGAGTTTTTTTGGATGAAGACCCTTGACATCTAATTGGCTACTGTCTAACAGTCAATACCGTTGGACTGAATGTCTACCTTTTTGATTTTATCTTAAGCAATACCCATATCATTCATAGGGTCCATTCGATCCTGAATGTTTGGACAAATAGCAGAGTAATTGGAAAGAACATAACGAAACATGCAGCCGACCCCGAGCTCCTAAAAGAGTGTATTGCTTTGATTTGCTCTTCTGCCATTAAGTCCACATTTTGACACATTTTTTTTGTATTTGTCGCAACAATGTTACAACGGCTACCCATAGACAATATCCTGCATGAAAATGGTATTTTAGTTTTGCTCTGATGCTCATAGTTACCCTTCCCAAAACAGAAATCTAATTGTTTCTTAAACTTACTTTGCCAAACAAAAATTCAGTAACTTGTTTCATTTTAGGTTTATATATAATAACTGTGTATGGTCTACAAGGAAAGAATTTTAAAAAAGAAAAACCTGTAATTTACAGAATGCATCTCACCGACTACAGTGGGTTCTAAATCAATAAACACAGCGCGAGGAACATGTTTTCCGGCGCCGGTTTCGCTGAAAAACGTGTTAAAGGAATCATCTACCACGCCGACAGTCTTGTCGCTCGGCATCTGACCGTCAGGCAGAATTCCATGCTCCAAGCAGTACAACTCCCAACAAGCATTTCCAATCTGAACTCCGGCTTGACCAATATGAACAGAGATACACTCACGCTGAACAAAAACAAGTTAAAAGAGAACTAAGAATTCTGTTTCCATTTATATGTAGTTTGTCGTATATTTTTAATGTTAAGTTTTTCACTTAATGATCTGGATGAAGTTTTAGCCATGAAGTAAATTTCGTTAGATGCTAAGTACATACCACTACAATTCGAAGGATTATGCTCTAATTAACAAACAATATCGTCTATTACATCTTACACCTTACATTCTAACAGTAATTACAAAAATTCTTACCATTTTATATCACCGTTTAGTAACAACGTTCGTTAGATTCGTCAGATAAAACTTTTTTCCTTCAGGAATATGTAGTAACGCCACCTCCCGATGAAGTATTTGGGTTTATGTTTTTTCTCTTCAAATTTGTTTTGTTTGAAATCGACAGGTTAAACCTCGAGAGAAAAGCCGCAACGCTTAAACAATAGCAGGTATTTGTGGGGCGAATGGGAGCGTTAAGCACGCAAGAATAACTCTCAATTTAAGACCATTTCAGCAAAGGTTGAAAGAGACTTTAGTAAGGAAGTTTTCTGTGGGGGCATTTGCAGATCAGACGGCTTCAACATCGGTTCAACCTGTTCTTAATATCTACAAAAAATGGCGAGGAGGGGTGGGAGGGACTCTTGGCTCATTTTTGTGCATATGCGTGCCTTCGACGAGTAAACGGGGGAAGGATTGCAAAGGTTTGTAGACTATGTATTCGGCCACCATTTCAACCAAAATGATCAGCCTACACAATTTTTAACAAGATCAAATAAGTTCAGTGCTGAGCATGAACTGCTTAAAGCTTCTTTTGTCCAGTCGAATTGTAGCCATGATTATCAGGCCAACTCGGTTAAAGCGTTCAGATCAGTGTGCGTAACGGGTCCCGGTTCATAAAGTAGCCAGCTTTAAAAATGGCGAGGGGGGCCAGGGAAGAAACCTAGGGAACTCCTTGTCGATTGTCCCTTCTAGGCAGTTAGCATTAAATTTCAGTTGACACTTTTTTGTGATACAACATTGTGGTGGTGAAACGCGGTTTATCTCAAAGCGTTCTACAAATCAAAACAAAATATTCAGGGGTATTATTGTTTATTGTTTATTTTGTATATTTATTTCCTCCATTTATTTATTTTACAAGCAATTTATATTGTATTACAAGATTTGAAGATGAAGATGCTATTTGTAGAATAAATATCAGGTTACAAGAATAAATGGAGAGGGCAGGATACAGTGAAACTAATTACTTGCCCTTTGATTAAATTACAGTTTTATTTAGGTTAAAAGAGAAAAAAAGAGAAAAGTATAAACCCTATAAACTTTGAAAAATATATGAAAAATATACAAAAGAGAGGAAAAAAGAAAAGCACATACACACACATACATAAAAAAAATAACATTTCAGGAGTCGGTGTGGCGATGATGATTAATACTGAGCAAGATAATAGTTGAAAAGTGCTCTTTTAAACAATTTTTTAGTTGTTTGTTCACGTATAGATAAAGGAATATCATTCCAATAATAGCATTCTATAACTGTTGGACAGAATTTTCTTATATTTATTCTAAAGCTACTGAATGATTTGTTTCTGACCTTTGCTCAGTTGCCCAAGCGACTCTCGTACAAATGTTTCGAAGTCTTCTTCTTCTGAAACTTCTTCCTGTTGCTTCTGTTTTCCTCTCTTAGTTGCAGACATTGTTTACATAAAGGATTTTGACAGGAAAAATTAAAATGGAGGAAAATTTGGAAAGAAACTTTATCTTCAACACGGAGCTTTAAATTTCGCGGCAATCGTGCTCGATGACCGCTGACCGCCTATTTTATTAAATGGGTCACTTGATTCCATGCCAAACTGACATACACATTTCACTATGCTTGATGGACAAAGTGTCTTCAATTTTTAAGGAAAAAAAACCAGGATAGAGTGAGTAGGATCCGAGGGCATCAGAACGGTGTCAAAATTAACCCTAAGACCAAAGTGACTGGTCAACGTCAGTTTGGCGGGGAGATTTCCATGGTCGTCCTGAGCTGAGGACACTGACCACTATCCGACCAAACTAATGCTAGACCAAACTGTTATCGAAAGCGCTCGGCGCGAAAAGGCGCGTGCTTTCAATACTACTACTACTTCTACTACTACCACTACCACTACCACTACCACTACCACTACCACTACCGCTACCGCTACCGCTACCACTACCACTCACCACTACCACTACCTACTGCTACTGCTACTGCTACTGCTACTGCTACCGCTACCGCTACCGCTACCGCTACCACTACCACTACCACTACCACTACCACCACCTACTGCTACCGCTACTGCTACTAACAGTTTATTAACAGCTTTTGTACCTAGTGTCTATACATCTTTTGTCCAATATCCAATCTCCTTCTCTCTCAGTTTTTTATGTTACAATATTTCTGATTAGGTCCAGAATAGTATTTGTGGCATATCAGACCACAGACTCGTTCACAGTCGTCTCTTTTCATTTGTATGTGATCGTGAAAGATTGGTACATCATCTCCACGGCGAGTTTTTGTCGAAGGGAGACTGGGGAGAGGAAAAAATGATGGGAGTGACGATGTGAAGAAAAAGAGAGGCTCACACCTTTTCCCTCTTCCCATCGTCCACCGCGAGCTTTTTTTATGCGCTATTTTCATTGGAGTACCGAGCGGGAGCCCCTGCGAAGGACTACGTGCATCTCCTCGCTTTCACGTTTACAATACGTACAATATGTACTGTTGTGACTTTTATGAGACGAAAGCGACAACAGCGTGGGGTGTGTGTGTGCGGTGGAGGGGGAGGGAGGAGGCAGTATTCACCCCAATATTAGGATCCTGGAGGTTTATTCCCCATTTTCCCAAACCAAAATTATGGATCCTGACGTCACGGAGGTTGTCCCAAAACAATGAAACCCCATGTTGGTTTCCCAAACCAATCCTCAAACATGCAAACGCCCTCTTTTGTTCCAATAAATTTGCATAAATGCTGGCCACGTGAGTGAAAAGATAGTATACCGGAATGAGGTATTGAAAACAATGCTTGCAGGCTCAACCTACCCGTCTCTCAAAAGTTCGCCCAAGGTTTTCGCGCTTTCCCAACTAGCTCGAAGCCTGGCTATCGGTCGTGAGGCTGGAGCAGGTAAATGAAGGCAGACACAAAATAAGATCGACCTAAGAAAGGTGTTGTGAGCCCGCGAGACTAAGAAATCCCCACAAGGCACAAACCAGGGGCACAAACCCTTGTTTTCACGAAAACCGCAACCGTTCCGAAGGGCTATAGAGTTCTGGTTACGAACTGATTGTGGCGTCATTTCAGGACACTGTTTCGCAGGAAGCAAGAAAAAGAAACTACTGGGAAATTTCCTGTTTTCAGTTGAGCTTTATGGTATTGTGCCTCATCTGAAATGAAATTTGACGTTTTTGGTTCGTCAAAACAAGGAAAAGACCAATCGATATTGAATTGTTTTGCTCTCTCTTATCAGGACACTGCGTAGATCAGTTCTATCCAGCAAACAAAAAAACCCGTCCATATTTCGTCAAAAGGCCAGCTGATTATGAAATTCAAGCCACTAGAAAGAAAACCGATACAAAAGAAACTCAAAAGTACATTTTCCATTATATTGTTAGCACATTTACTTCAATATTGAGTAGTTTGGTATGCATTGTTTTTAATCTTATTTTTGGGGCTACAAGATACTAAGGAAACTGTCATATGAAATGTAGGGGAAATAAGTGACACATAAGCTCTCTTGACATAAATCAAACAAAAAAGAAAAATAACTCTCCTAATTAAAGACACACATTAGGTTAGAGGTCAACTCAAGCTTTTATTAGGAATGTGTAATTCCAAACACACTTTTTCTCAAATCATGAGTATTTAGTATTCGTCTCCTTCCTCTTCACCCTCTGCCTCAACAGAATCCACACCCACTTCCTCGTAATCCTTCTCCAGTGCAGCCAAATCTTCACGAGCCTCAGAGAACTCTC